GTTTTAATATTTATCCACAAGAAAAAGTTTCTTATAGTTACTTCTAGATTATTATCTATCTATGTTTTATATAATTAGACAATAAACATAAGAATAAAAAAAAACTGTTGGTGCACTGGGTGGGCTCGGCCCGGAATTTGCCAACTCTAACTGCCATTAATATATCTTTTTTCCAGTTTTATAATTAATTCTAATAGGTATAATAATTAAGCCCAATAGACATAATAATAACTATCATTAATATGTTTAATAATTTCCCATGCAGAAAGTAGTGGACAATATTAAATGCTGAATCTTTTCCCACCTCTCAAGTTCAAAATTCAAATTTAAAAAGTTTAAAGTTTAAGTATTAAATATTTTCCCTCTGAATAGACATAATAATAAATTAATAGGCTTAACAATTTTCTATGCAAAAAATAAAGAGAAACATGCTTAGAAGTTTGTGCACATTCTCCAAGTAATAGCTTCTAGGTAATCATTCACGATATAGAAAATTGTGTTAACTATACTCTTACATCAAAAGAATAAAAGTTTGATTTCTTTCTAATATATTTTATTTTAAAATTTAAAATTCAACATGATTACATATATATATATATATATATATATATATACATTAAAATATTTATCTTAAGTATTTTTTAAAAAGTTTCTTGTACAATTTTTTTTTTGTGACATTATTTTAAGTTATGATTTTAATTTACTTTATTTTAAAGTATATTTTTATAATTTTAAATAATTTTTTCATTTAATTCGTAATTTTTTATTAAAATTAAAAATTTTTATGCATATCATTTTTCCAGTTTTATAATTAATTCTGATAGGTATAATAATTAAGCCCAATAGACATAATAATAACTATCATTAATATGCTTAATAATTTCTCATGCAGAAAGTAATGGGCAATATTAAATGCTGAATCTTTTCCCACCTCTCAAGTTCAAAATTCAAATTTGAAAAATTTAAATTTTAAGTATTAAATATTTTCCCTCCCAATAGACATAATAATAAATTAATAGGCTTAACAATTTTCTTTGCAAAAAAATAAAGGAAAACATGCATAGAAGTCTATGCACATTCTCCAAGTAATAGCTTCTAGGTAATCATTCACGACATAGGAAATTGTGTTAATTATACTCTTACATGAAAAGAATGAATGTTTGATTTCTTTCTAATATATTTAATTTTAAAATTTAAAATTCAACATGATAATAGAATTAATTATACATACTTTTAAAAAATAATTTTTTTCTCTTATAATTTATATTATATACATATATATATATATATATACATTTAAAATATTTATCTTAAGTATTTTTTAAAAAGTTTCTTGTACGAACTCTTTTTGCTTTTTGTAACATTATTTTAAGTTAAGGTTTTAATTTACTTTATTTTAAAGTGTATTTTTATAATTTTAAATATTTTGTTCGTTTAATTAATATTTTTTTATTAAAATTAAATTTATTTTATACATATCTTTTTTTCAGTTTTATAATTAATTCTAATTCGTATAATAATTAAGCCCAATAGACATAATAATAACTATCATTAATATGCTTAACAATTTCTCACGCAGAAAGTAGTAGGCAATATTAAATGCTGAATCTTTTCCCACCTCTCAAGTTCAAAATTCAAATTTAGAAAATTTAAATTTTAAGTATTAAATATTTCCCTCACAATAGACATAATAATAAATTAATAGGCTTAACAATTTTCTATGCAAAAAATAAAGGGAAACATGCATAGAAGTCTATGCACATTCTCCAAGTAATAGCTTATAGGTAATCATTCACGACATAGGAAATTGTTTTAATTATACTCTTACATCAAAAGAATGAATGTTCGATTTCTTTCTAATATATTTAATTTTAAAATTTAAAATTCAACATGATAATAGAATTAATTATACATACTTCTAAAAAATAATTTTTTTCTCTTTTAATTTATATTATATACATATATATATATATATATACATTTAAAATATTTATCTTAAGTATATATATTGTACGAATTCTTTTTGCTTTTTGTATCATTATTTTAAGTTAAGATTTTAATTTACTTTATTTTAAAGTATATTTTTATAATTTTAAATATTTTTTTATTAATATTTTTTTATTAAAATTAAATTTATTTTATACATATATTTTTTTCAGTTTTATAATTAATTCTAATAGGTATAATAATTAAGCCCAATAGACGTAATAATAACTATCATTAATATGCTTAATAATTTCCCACGCAGAAAGTAGTGGACAATATTAAATGCTGAATCATTTTCCACCTCTCAGATTCAAAATTAAAATTTAAAAAGTTTAAATTTTAGGTATTAAAAATTTTCCCTCCGAATAGACATAATAATAAATTAATAGGCTTAAAAATTTTCTACGCAAAAAATAAAGGAAAACATGCATAGAAGTTTGTACATAATAAATATTGTGCAATAAGTAACAGTAACAGTTTTTTTTTTAAATTTTGGATATTCTAGGAAAACGTAACAGTTTTACGTTATTTTTAAAATTAATTCAATCTACCCTTATATATATCTACATTTTAATTCAAACCTAACTGCCAATAAAGAAGATATGAAATTTATTATTGTGCAATAAGTATTATATATATATATATAAATTTTCGTTGCTGTAGCGATATGCGCGCGTTTTCCCAACACACCCACTCGTATTTGATTATCCTTCTTTGAACTTCCAATGTAATAATGAAGTCAATATCTTATAATAACTTCCAAATCTTCCCAAGAACAAAAACATTAAAAACAAATTTATTGTTATCAAAAAAAAAAACAAATTTATTGCTTTATATTATTTTTGTAAAAAAAAGTAATTAATCATAATGGTATAATAATTAATTCTAATATACATAATAATAAATATTATTAATAAATTTAACAATTTTCGATGCAAAAAATAGTAGAATAATACAGTTGTTTGCCGACTATATTATTAATAGATTTAACAATTTTCGATATAAAAAATAATGGAAGAATATAGCTGTTTGCCTAACCAAAGAATGTTGAAATTTTTTCACACCTATTGAGTTACTTTAATTTTGAATATAGCATCAGACACACTTCGAACATCCTTTAAAGAAATAGATGATGGTTTTAAGAGGTCGAAGTAGTATCATTGATATCAAACTCATCATTTTCACCACCACGATAAACATATCTGTCAAGAACAAAAATAAATTAAAGAGCAACAACAACTGTGAGAAACAAATTATGTATGGACAGAAAAAATAAAAGAAAAAACTCATCTTGCTCTTGTAGATTGTAGGTATTACAAATAGAAAAAATAAGGACTTTAAGATAAAAGAGAATTTTTTACCGTGTTGAATTCTGAGATGGTGCTCACAAAGCACAGACAATGAAGGCTAAACATAAATATTTAATCATTTAAAAGTAAGGATATTTTATTATATCATCTCGTTCATGATATTGTGTTGTGGAAAAAATACTTGTAGAAGAAAAATGATAGAGAATTGTACCCAAAAAAGAAAGAAAGAGAAGAATGCCATACCTTCCTATGAGGAAGTAAAGAAATTCATATTCTAGTGATTCTAAATCATTCCGTCAGCTTTACTCTACAATAGTGCTACAAAAAAATGAAAAATATTATATGTTCATCAAATAGAAGAACAACTTAAGAAGATGAAGAAGATAAATAGACAGAGAAGGGAAGAAACATATGCACAAAAGCTAATTACCAAATGAAAAGACCCAGTAACACATATCCTATTTATACACAAAATAATTTTGTTTTTTAATAATTACCTATGCAGAAAGTAGTGAGATATTAATGATGAACTCTTTTATCACCTTTAAGTTTAAATTTTGAATTTAAATACTTTTCCACCTACTAATGCAAAAAGTAATGGGTTATTATTACTTTTTCTCTTATCCATGCAAAAAATAGTGGATCATTAATACAGATGTCTTCCACCACATAAAATTGAATTATTTTCCCACCCATGAATTTAAAAATTCGAATTTTGAAAGTTGCCAAAAGAAGAAACATTTCAAAATCTGTCAAGTGTGAACACAAACCTGAGAAGCAAGGACAGATTGACACGTCAGCAAAGTTTCCAAAGTTTGGATGAAGATTTTATATATTAAGATGATCATTTGAATACGTTTATAGAGAACATAATCATAGATTCTCACAATTAATAAATTGGTTCTTAGCTATTAAATAAAGTTGGACGCTTTATTTAGGCTACAATATTTTATGAAATGGTTTTTTCTGAATCATTATAAAATATTGGTGTGAATTAAAATTCATATTGAAAGGATCAAGAGAGATTTGATTCAAGTTTTTTTTTGTCATAAGGTATCAAATCTCTAGTTAACAATAGTTATGTGATTGCTCTTAATCCCGAGTTTATTTTATATAGGTAATTAAATAGCTTTCATTCTTTGATTTATCTATAACTTGGATATTGAAGACACTGGCAAATGCATGTAATCGATTAGAGAAACTATCACAGTCAAGGATATAAATAATTGATTTAGTAACAGAAAGCTCATCAATCAATTATTGACATTCTACAAAGGGGCGATACATATTTGTGTTACATGTGTAATTAATCTTGGAGTTCAAGTTCAGGTTTTTAGTGGAATAGCGCTGAATTAGATAATCATTCATTGATTATCGAGAGCCTTAATTAATAACAGCTAGTAGATCCCCAGGCTCAGCTCGAGATACAGGATGAGGCATTTTTAATGAGTTACATAGTCTTGGTCTTTGGACTCAAGTTTTACTCAAGAGCAAGTGGGAGATTGTTGAATTTTGCTCCTGCATTAAAAAAGCCCCATTGAGCTTAATGGGTAAAAAGAGCCAAAGAAGCCTAGAGCTCATTGAGCTTAGAGCTAAGGTTTGTTGGAACTCATATATATTCTACACTTATAGTCATCAGTCTCTAGGATCTTCACTTTATGGTTGTAACAAGGAGGCTGAGGTAAGATCATCTCCATGATAGTGATGGAGTGCCCACAACCACAAACCATCCATTCCCCTTTGAGACGTAGTCTGCAAGGTCTGCCATTAGTCAACCTCAAGAAATTTGTTCGTGTTGCGGTGTCGAGTAGAGCAGTTCGTGAAAGGGAATCATATACGGGGAGATTCTGCACAAGATCTGCGCTTCAAGAGGTAAATTAGAACGATGATGATCCGTCGCATTCCAAACTGGAACGTTCTAAACACTTTTGCATATCCAATTGCGCCCGATGACAGTTAATGAACAAGGTTTAAGGTTTTGAGTTGAGATGTGGTGTCAGTCCACTTATTGTGGTTTATCATTTGGCTCATTGGTGGATGTATCCCTTCTAAAGGGTTTTGGACTCGCCCATACCATTCCCAACTCTAGTATCCGAGTCAAAGGTTTGGCTGGCCGGGTATTTTGATATGGTAATGTTTCAAGGCCTCCGCAGAAGGCTAGCTTGACTCCAATACTTAAGAAAAAGACGATTTTGGACTCCCCGTACCATTCCCAACTCTAATATCAGAGCCAAAGGTTTAGCTGGGCTGGGTATTTGAAAATGGTGATATTTCAAGGCCTCCGCAGAAGGCTAGTGTGACTCCAATACTTAAAAAAAAAGACTTTCGCATAAGTTGCTCTTAAGAGGGAGCATGATGTTGGGTCTCATACTTAAGGGGAAGATGTTGAAAGTATTCAAATATGAGTTGTAACGAAGTACCACATCAACTAGACATAGACCAAGTGATGATCATATAAATGCAAAAAACCCATAAACCTACAATTTTAAAGTTTTGGGTTGAGATGTGGTGTCGACCCAGTTATTGTAATTTATCATTCGGCCCATTGGTGGATATATCCCTTACAAAGGGTTCCTCAAAGACCTGGCTAATGAAAAAAGGTCAAGGACTAAAAATAAATATTAACAAGTACGTAAACCTGCCATAGATGTTTTCGGTGCTAAAAGCGATCTAAAAAACTTCGTAAAAAACTACAAATTTTGTCTGACCGTAATGAACTAAAAACTTTGTCTGACACGTAATCACAACAATTAATGAGAATCTGTTTTTTTGGATGTTCCACATCACTTCATGCAGCTTGGAGTTACATTGCCGCAGGAATATACTAGGCTGCAGTTGGAGGTCAGGACAACGAATAACAGTTCTTACTTTCCTTATTTACATTATATAACCCCCCCTTTACTAGTTATGGATAAGCCCAGTTGCTTTTGGCAGCAAAGATAGACACTTTCCATAGCAATTAGAACTCCCAAATAGCTTGGATGATTTGAATAGTAATATTTTTAGTTTGTCTAACTTATCTGTGGCTATGGAAAAGCAAAAAGAAGGCAAAGAGATTACCTCCTGATCCAATAGGGTTGCCAATTCTGGGACAAGCTTGGGGCAAATCCTCATCGTGATCTCTACAAACGAATTATATTTATTATAAATACTTACGAAGAAATTAACATGATAAGTATCGAACCATTTACGTTATGATCAGACCAAAGTCCTAAAGAGTTGGACCAATACCAATTGAGTTACATGCTTGTTGGCTCTTCACACTGATTCTTACAACCGTCATAGTTCTAGCTTTTACATTATCCTTTCACACTTTTTTTTTTTTTGGCATAGGATATGCTGGCGGGTTCTATGGATGCTTCTGCTACATCAGTTGAGTGGGCACTTTCAGAGCTCATAAAGCATCCAAGGGTGATGAAGAAACTCCAAACAGAGTTGGAGACTGTGGTGGGTATGAAGAGGAAGGTGGAGGAATCAGACCTGGACAAGTTGGAGTATTTGGACATGGTTATAAAGGAAAGTTTGAGGTTCCATCGAGTGGCACCATTACTAATACCACACCAATCTATGGAAGATTGCATGGTTGGAGATTTTTTCATACCTAAACAAACCAGGGTCATAGTAAATGCATGGGCAATTATGCGAGACCCAAGTGCTTGGAATGAGCCAGAGAAGTTCTGGCCAGAGAGATTTGAGGGAAGCAACGGATTGCAATTGGGTCTAACTGTGGTTCGTTTAGTGGTGGCCCAACTTGTGCATTGCTTTGATTGGAAGCTACCCAATGACATGAAGCCAACAGATATGGACATGACGGAGGAGTTTGGCCTCACTAAGCCCAGGGCCAAGCATCTAGTTGCCATTCCTATATATCGCCTTCAAAATGAGAGGGAGGATTTGGGGGGGGGGGGGGGGGGGTATGCAATAGTAACATTTTATTTTATGCTTATAATATCTTGAATAAGATGAAAGAAGAATATAGTATCTTCTCCCTTCTTTCTCATCGTTAAGAATAATAATTTCTATCAATGCAAAAGGTTGTATTCCTTTTATACACACATTTTATGCTTAATTAGGTTGATTTGAATAAGATGTACAGAAGAATATATTATCTTTTCCTTTCCTCCTCGTCATTAAGGAAAAAGATAAAATATTCTTTTGTGTGTGACTCAACACAAACATATAAGATTTACCTACTACTACGCAGAATATCTCTGGCTTTGCGGCTCAATCTACAAAACTGCCTTAGCTTACGTGCAAGATCCGTTTTTCCTTTTCTCTTGAACACATACATACTTGAAATACTAGAAAGACCTTAAATTAGCACCGAATCAATCCGCCAAATCGGTATTTACACACAGCTCTACATTCCCAGTCTTTCTTTGCAAATAGCTTCACTCCCATTCTTGTTGAAAAATCTCCTCTGAATAAGCTAGTAGTCCTAGCTTAGAATGAGAAGTCAAGTCATCTAGCATATCATATATATACGAGGTTTCAGGGTGATCTCTATCTTCAACTGTAAATATAGAAGATTTCCCGTTCACTTGAATAATACTTTGTCCGGGAGATTTCCTCAATTGAAGATATTTCATCTTTCTTCTTATAGCTGCAACTCCATCCCACATTTCCGATGATGCGTATATGTTAGCCATCTCCACATATGGAACTGCAACCTGAGGCTCCAATTCAAATAGCCGTTCAGACACATACATACCCATCTCCATCTTACCATGAAGTTTGCAAGCAGAGAGCAATGCACTCCATATGCCAGCATCAGGTTCAAAAGGCAAACCTTTAATAATTTCTAAAGCTTCTCTCAGTTGTCCTCTACGACCAAGAAGATCAACCATACATGAATAATGGTCTATACCAGGGCTTATGCCATACTTTTGCGTCATCATGTTGAAGCACTCCAGTCCTCTTTCGAGTAAACCTCCATGTGCACAAGCTTGGAGAACAGCAAGAAACGTTATGCGGTTTGGTTTCATTCCCATGTCCACCATCATAAAAAAGAGGTTCAGAGCAACTCTAACATCTCCATTCAAAGCACAAGCAGTAATCATGGTTGTCCAGGAGACAACAGTTCTGTTAGCCATCGTGTAGAAAAGCTCCTGAGCATCATTAAAACTTCCACACTTGGCATACATGTCAATTAGTGCGTTGCAAACCACAACATTATCTTTAAACCCTTTATTAATAGAGTAATCATCAATCCATTTTCCAAGTTCAAGTGCCCCTGTTTGGCCACAACCTGAAATCAAAGCAAGCACAGTAACCAAATCTGGTTTCTCACCAGTAGCTTCCATTGCATTAAACAAGATCAATGCCTCGTTCATATATCCTTTCTCAGCATAACCACTAATCATTACAGTCCATGAAACACAAGTTCTGCCAGACATGCCGTCAAACAAAAATCTTGCAGAGTGAACATCCCCACACCTGGAATAGATACAAATAAGAGTATTCACCACACACACATCAGAATCACAACCCAACTGGACTCCATGAGAATGTACTAGCAAACCGTGAAATAGTGCTTTAGGTTGCACACATGATGAAAGCAAATTAAGAATTGTGCTAATGTCTGGGGAAAACCCACCATGTAGCATCCCTTTGTAACAATTAACAGCCTCGACATGCTTTTCAAAATTTGCATATGCAGCAATCATAGAATTCCAGGAGACAACAGACCTCAGACCACTGTCAATCTCATCAAATACCATCTCTGCCGAACACAAGTCGCCGCATTTGGCATATGCAGATATCAAAGTATTAGCCACAGAAACATCCATATGAACTCCAATTCGAATCCCAAAAGAATGTGTTGCACTCAAAAATGTGAGATTTTTCACATGCAAAACAGCATCAATCAGTAGCAAGACAGTGACTGAATCAGGATGAATCCCAGTAAGCCTCATCTGACGTATTAGACATGACAACCTATCAAGGAAGCCACAGTGAGCAAAACCAAACAGCATTGCATTCCAAGAAGCAATGTCCCTCGTGGGCATTCCAACAAATACATTGTACGCGTCTTCCAACTGACCACATTTAACATACATATGAACCATCGCGGTTTGCACAAAAGTATTGGATTGAAACCAAGATTTGACAACATGGGCATGGATGATTTGGGAGTTCCTGAGATGGGAAAGTATGGCACATGCTTTTGCTAAAAAGGGAAAGGTGGAATTATTGGGCGTAACGCCACTTCGCTTCATCTGGCGGAAAAGAACAAGGGCTTTTTCGGCATGCCCTTGATTCACAACTTGTCTTATATTCGAGTTCCACATGGCAAGGGTTCAGAAATTTGAAGAACTGTTCATGTATTGAGTAACACAACAATAGCTGACCATTTCTCATGGTTGGAGCAATGAGTAACAAGAAAACCTCAAGTCAAATTGGGAAAGTAGTGGGTGAAGTTGGCACCTGAATTGTTCGTGGGAGGCACAAGCACTGTGTGCATACTGCATAACTATACTGAAATGAAAACATAGAGAAACATTGTTTCGTGAGATAGTTGTTATTATTAATGTTAATGGAAATCGATTATCTTCGTGTTATATTTATTTTCATTTTTATATTGCTATAATTCATCATATTTAATTTTTAACTTTATATCATTATGATTTTTCATATTTAATGTTGGGTAATATTTTTCTCCTTTCACATGACATAATCAATTTTCCTACATACACGTAAAAGTGGACCCGTCAATTCTTTTACTTTTCTTTTATTTTAAAATAATGGTCCTCACAATTGATTGTCTAAATGACATGACCAAAGAATTTTTCTACAACATAACACTAGTTTTTCCTTTTAATGTTTTCATATTAAATATAGAGAATCATATTTATACAAAGATGTAAATAAATATAACTGTTAGATCAACATAATTGATCTAACGGTGAAATTGATTGATATTAACATTAAAAATAATACTAATTGATTGTTAATGCCCTTCCCTTGTTTTGTTAGGCAAATAAAATTGTTAGAAAAACGAGAAACCCAAATAGGATGTTATGTATTCTATTTAACATTATAAATAGCATAAGTATAATAAGCATTTAAAGTTGACATTAGGGGTTGTTGAATTGAGATTTTAAAGGATTTTAATTGATTATTTGTGGACAAAAAAAATCTATTGATATTTAATTAGGATTTTAAAAGATTGAAACAAAGTCACATGGTGATTAGAATATTAAAAGATTATTTTAGAGTCTGTCCAAATCCATTGGTATTTAATCAGGATTTAAACAAGGAAAAGCAATCTTCTGGTATTCAAAAAATCTAAAGATTTTAATGAATTTTCTATTTGTATGGATTTTTTTGTGAGAAATATAAATAAGATGCCTATCTCACAATCTCACCCTAACCTTAAGATTTCTCTATTGAGTGTCTTTTTCTTCCTTTGACGGGTTGACCCTCGAAACCGGGTTTCGTCGTGGGAGCTTCCTCAAAGCTCAAAAAATAGTAAATTTTTGAGCGATTTTTATCACAAAACAATTCAGAGACAACAAACCAACAAGATTCTAATATAACATCTCAAAACAGCAGATTTTTTAGCAATTTTTGAGAGTTTTTGTAAGTCTAAAAAATGATTTTACAAGTTATGGGTCACGGTTTTTTTTGGCACAAAAGATGTGATTTTTGTATTAAAAACAACATAAAACAGTGAGAAAACAACAGGAGAATTAAAACCCTTAAACCAATTTTCATTTTGCATCAATGAAACCCTTAAAGAAAGATTGAAACTTTCATAATATGAACCTTATATTTTGTAACAATGCATTCATGAATGAAATTCATTCGCTATAGGAAATAATTTCAAACAATTTTTGTATCAATAGACAACTAAAAACTTGTTTTTAAAAAGCTCCACAACAATGTAAGGTTTCAATGTATCGATTGAAAATAATTTGAAATTTTTTCTAAACTTTCATGTAATAAAACCCAAAATTCATATTCGAAATTTTCTTAAAATACTCAATAAAAACATGCATATGATATATGGTTAGAAAACTCTCATCACTTAGAACAAAGAAGTTTGGAGGAAGTTGTTGGATCCGTATTTGGCTAATAATTTTTTCAACTTGGATCTGGATGACTGGCTTTTATTGAATATGAAGTATGATGCTTATGCTTGCTTTAATTCACCCTGGAACTTTGTTTTTGCAGTAACGATTTGGTGTGCTTGGTTTTGGAGAAATAGTATTGTTCATGGTGATCAGGTAGATAGAGTAGCCTATAAATATCAAGCTATTGAACAGAAAACTGCTGAGTATTCTCAAGCTTGGTCAAATAAGTTGAGCATGAAGCCTATAAGGGAGCAGTCGTGCAATTTGATAAGATGGATTCCTCCAGATGATGGCTGGATGAAAGTCAATACAGATGGGGCAGCTAGAAGAGGTTCTGGAGTATCTGCTTGTGGTGGGATTTTAAGAAATAATATTGGCCATTGGTTACAAGGCTTTACGTATCATATAGGCAAATGTACAACTTTTGTAGCTGAGTTATGGGGAGTCATCAAAGGTTTGGAGTTTGCTTGGGATGGTGGTTGGAGACATATTATTTTAGAAAGTGATTTAAGTTCTGTTATCACTTTGCTCACCAATAATGGAGGAGCAGTTCGAGAGTCTCATCTAGTGACTCGCATTCAAACATGGTTACAAAAGACTGGGAAGTAAGACTAGTTCATTCATACAGAGAGACTAATGCCTATGCGGATTGGTTGTCTAAATATCCTTTGGATCATCATCTAGATAACAATTTATGTATTTTCTCCTTTCCACCTGCTGGTGTTTGGCCGCTGTATTTGGCTGATTTTTCTTCTATTTTTTGGATTCGTAGATTTGCTGTGAGTTGATCTCTACAGGTGTTTGTTACCTTGCAGACTACCCAAAAAAAAACCCCAAGGTTCCAAGATCAATTGCAAAAAATTTCAAACGAAATTTTATCATGAACTTTAGGTTCTCTATGAAAACTTAGAATTATTTTTAATAAATAAAAAACAATTGGATCTTATAATCATATATGCATAGCTCTGATACCAAATGAAGAAGATAATTTTTAACTCATTGATCAAACGCAAGAGCAGAAACGAGAAAATGTTAATGTGTGGAAGACTAGTAAAGTATAGCTTTAGATATGTGGAGAGCTATTGCTTAGTAATTTTGAATGTCTGTTAAAAAATATATTATGTTTTACTGATTGAGAAAATTATATTAGGTTTTACTTTTTTTATTAACATCATTGCATTTCTTTGTTATTTTGTTTATTGACTCTTATAATTTTGAATATTTGTTAAAAATTCATATGATTTTTTAAAATCTTATAAATTCATATTGTTCTTTCAAATCTTATAAATTTTATTAAAATCTAATTTTATGAAATCTTGATTGTAAAAAAAGTACTTAAAATCCTTCCAATTCTAAATAGTCTTTTAAAATCCTAATCCAATACACTCCCTCCCTCTGTACATGTGTACCATCAGAGAAAAAGATAGTCCTTGGCATCGATGAGGACAAATTGAAATTTATTGAAATGAAGATGACAATGAAAGAACAAAAATGGTAAATGCGATTTCTTATACCAAAACCCGCAAGAGGCAGAAGAAACGTAAGCAACAACATACCCTAGGCCTTAGTCCAGTCCAGGCAACTACAGTAGTGTGATAATTATTAATTTTATTAAGGCAGTTAATACATAATAATACCGATAAATTCATGTCTTAGTTCTAATAGAGCTGCTTAAACAAGAGCAAATTCCTAGGAGCTCTCCAACCTCCAAACCCCAATTCTTTGAATTCAATTTAGTTCCCATTTGAGCTAAACCTTCTATTTTAGCTGGTAATTGAATCGATTGAAATCATACAATAACTTGACGATAAAGAAGGTGAGATTGTGACAACTTACTACAATACTTTGTATTTTGAAAAAGAAAAAGAAAAAACCAGGTCAAATTTGTATCAACCTAAAAGATCATTACCCTAATTTTTTTTAAGAGTTTGCTTTTTATGCAGTTACTGTTTTTCTTTAGTTTTCTTCACTTTATTTGTAACGTCCGGCAACTTGCAAGGATTAATGATTGTCCCCACAAACTAACATGAGACTTTTTAGCGTGCTTTGCCCTCACTCACATATTTATTGGAAAAACTTCCCAGGAAGTCACCCATCCCAGAATTGCTCCAAGTTAAGCACGCTTAACTATGGAGTTCTTCTGTTTCGGGCTACTGAAAAATAGATGCATCTTATTAGTATATGTAGTATTAATTAATTCTTATAATCTATCCTCAACTCTACAGTCTTATACCTGCACAGTCTCTTGAATCTCTCTCTTTCGGGTGTTGATTCGATTCATTCATGTACCTCAACTGCAAGATTTGGCATGAGCTATTCATTGTCTGTGCAACTTTTTGCACCGGCGATCACTCCCTGCCCTTGCTAGCCCTTGGGATGTTACATTCTCATGAAAGAATCTTTCCCAGAGGAAAAGCTTTTGAGATCGAAGTTCTAATGATGTGGAATCAGGCATACATGAAAACAGATGTGGAGAGCGGGGCGAGGCCTCTATACCTGATGATGCTTGAGAGCCCTAAATTACAGTGGTCCTTCATCCGAAAAGTGTACTCCATCATCTCCATCCAGTTGCTCATAACCATTGCCGTCAATGCCTTCGTTGTCATCGTTCACCCCATCGCCAACTTCTTTGTCAGCACCGGCGCCGGCATGGCTCTCTACATCATTCTTATATTTGTTCATTTTATCATTGCGTCTTCTATCCTAATTGCTTCGAATTCTATCACTTACTTCGTGTTCAATTTTTCTCAAACAATTCAACCTTTTTTCGGTTGATTTGCATGTAATTGCAACGTTATGTCTCTTTTACTATTATTATCAGAAGCATCTCGTCAACTACCTCCTCTTATGGATTTTCACTATTTCTCTTTCAAGATGAAACGTCGGAAGGAGAGAAATACAAAATGAACACTTTTGGTAGCATCCCATCAATGTTGAATGATTATGTAAAAAATTTATTTTAATTTTAAATTGCAAAAGTTTTGATGGTAATTTTGTAAAATAATCCCATATTTTCGGTAATATTTGATAATTAACTAAATATATAATTAGTAATCTTGAGCTAATATTTTCAATAATATTTTAGTCTATCAAATAATTTTTTGATAAAATTCCATAAAAATTTACTTTGCTACTATATTTTTGGAAATAATAATTCCGCGCACAAAAAAAATATACTCTTTTACCAACACCCCCTAAGGAAAGAATGAATGGCATTATTTTCTAAAAGAGTCTCTTTGCCATTAATTTATCATTTCACAATTTTTTAGGTTTAATTATTTATATATTAAGGGAATATAATGATAAAGAAAAGATAATTATGACTTCTTCCTCTATGAAATCAAACTTTAGAGTCCAAATAATATTAAAAAAAAAAGTAAAAGAAAAAAAAGGCTTTAGTTAAACTAAATTTCAAATTAAATACTCTCAAAATATGCATTAAAGTTTGACTCTTCGGTTCGGACTATATTTTCGGGGGGTTTTGAAACCCTAGAGGGTGGGTAGGTAGGTGGCGTCAGGCCTCAGGGTCAATTTGGGTTCAAAGTGACAAATCTACAATCTTCTTCTCGCTTTGTATTTTTAAGTGAGAAAACACCAACCTAGCTCTCGAGGGTCGAGCTTTTTTGCTGAGGAATCCGGAGACAGGTCAAAGAAGAATGCTGAAACACTCTTGATTCAATATAAATGATAACAATAAATAATAATATCAAGTATCAACATCTCGTCAATGCTGTCGCGTGAATATTTTAACACTTCAATTCTCTGTTAATATAAATATAATAAGAGAAATTATTGTCTCGTTTTAGATGAGATAACTATTTCATGTTACTCTCACATAAAAAATTGTGCCATCATTTTTTTTTAATGAATGGTAAGCTCATCACATTATGTGTCTATGGTAGAGATACTTAAGGGTGTAAATGGGCCAGGCTGGCCCAGCCCAGCCTACGGCCCGGCCTACATTAAGCCCAGCCCAGGCCCAGCTTTTTAGAAAAGTAGAGTAGGCTTAGGCTTATAAAAAAGCTTTTTTAATAAATAGGCCATAGGCTAATTTTGTCAAGCCCGGCCTACAGCCTTGTAGGCTGGCCTATTTAATTTATTAAAATAAAATAATAAAATAATATTTATTTTATGTGGCAAAGACACAAAGTACCAAATACCAATATCTCTTACTTTTTGTGCTATTTTATTTTATGAAAGGAAAACTTGTCTAATGTCTCCAAATTTTACATGTTGTTGCAGCTTAATACCATGGAGCAATGGGTACCTTGCTGGATTATGATGTTACTAATGATGATCTTTCAATAATACTCTTCTTTCCCTTGTCTTGATGGTGGTTTAAAGATTTTTAGATGAATGACATTCTCTTGTAGACTTTATTTCAGCATCCAGTAATTGTATTTTTCTTATTTTTCCCATTTCTTTGACTTTATTCCTCTATGATATACATTCTAGAGCTGAGGTATTATGTTGACTCTTTCTTGTTTGTCATTTTTTTCTTATGAGAAGTACTAGTGCATGCATGAATGGAACATTCTTTACTACAATTATTTTTTTTGCTTAGTATATATAGTGGGAGGCCTACAAGACTTGTAGGCCATGTCAGGCTTTCTTATTTTTGAAAATGGGCCGGGCTTGGCCTACAGATAAAGCCTTTAATAGGCCAGTAGGCCAGATAGGCTGAATTTTTTTTGACGTAGGCTTGGGCCAGGATGGCCAAAGCCCAGCCCAGCCCAGCCCATTTACACCCCTAGAGATACTTATCTAAAAAAAAGGAGAAAAATAGAACCAATATAATAATGTAGGGGCTTTATTAATCTCATGTGACATAAGAGAAGCTCTCTTATGTCATAGAGATAGTTATGAGTGGGACCCACTCACTTAAAGAAAAAGAAAAAAAGAAAAAAAAGCAACACGGAAGTCGATGTGTGTGTAGGAGAGAAAAATACTCTCCTACAGCATAAAGATAATATTTTTCCATAATGTAGATAACTCTTTCTGCCTTTGCTGAAATAGTTTACCGAATAATGTATAGTACTAGCTAGTCCTTCCTACTTTGCTATATAGGACATGTCATTATATAGACAAAACAGGTCTCAAGCTAGCTAGCTAGGTCCAATACAATGAGACTCTCGATACTTGCTTTGTTTCTCTTTCTACTATTCACCTTCAATGTCATATATGTTGTTCAAGGGGGAGCTCTTATCAACGAAGAAGTTGTAGGTTCTGGAAGTTCTGCCACTGTTGTGAGTTTGAGTCTCACTCTCTATATATCTACCTCTTGATATTATTGTTATTGGTTGCTTTTAATTTACGGGAGTAAATACAATTGTAATGAAATTTTTACATCGTCTTTCAAAATGAGATGCGAAATGCATTAGTTCGAAGTTTTAATTTGGAGTAACTGGAATTTTTATTATGCAGAGAAGAGGTGGCTGTGAAAAGCAAAGGGGTGAATGCAAGGAAGGAATTGGTGGGTCGAAAGAAACTGTTTTCGAAAATGAAGATTATGTCTATACCAACTCTTTACCTTAGATGACACGGTTTTGTTTTATTTCTTGTCTTTTTATGTGAATCCGTATTCCTTTACTGGATGATGTTTTAAAGCTACCAAGCCATATTGGAAATTGTAAAGGATCTATAAGCTTCTTTCATTTATTGTTTACTCGTATTTTTCTATGAGATCACCACTGTGGGCCAGTTTGTGCTCTCTTGTAAAAACTAGAGAAGAAAACCTTTTTTGAGATTGCATTCCAACTATTTCTGAGTCCTCCACAATGATTTTGAAATATCTTCCCAACTCATAGCAAGTATTTAATATTTTGAACGAATAAGATTGGAAACAAAATTATCTTCTTCCGACACACATCTTGAAGTTGAGTTTGACTTGATGAACAATGTGATGCATGTCTTCTCAATTGGGTTATATAAGAATATCTTAAAATCCCATTAACCCTAAAGTGTGTGCTAAGAACAAATCACAATGGTAGACCGTGACACCGGAAACCATTGTCTTTTGAGAACTTCAATTTGAAGGTTGGTATTTGTTCGGAAGAATACACAATTTCTAATATGACCCAGGTTCCAGGGATCAAAGTCAAACCAGTTGTTTTGAAGCTAACAGAACATGCCCATGTGGATGTTTTACTAAATCGCCATATTTTAGGAAGATGGCCAGCAAGCTACGATCCATTACCAAGGGATTTCCTTGACATATCCTGTTCCATGCTTTGATCATCACTTCAATCGTTATTCTTTGGGTATAATGTCGACATATACCATTAAGTACACATTTAACAGAAAAAAAATTCTTTTTTGGGGAGAATATATTTAACATTTCAGGAAGAGCATCCATGAAAGGCACAAGTCTATAAGAAAATAATTTCTTTTTAGGGTTACAGCCCAGGGAGCCAGTAATAGCAAACAGTAAAAACTAAAGATAGACTACAGAGAGATTTTTGACGCGTTAAACCGGCAACTCGAATTCAAGAAGCTATGCGTGCACAATGATGAACCTGAAGTTAGGCGTTGAGAACAAGAAACACTAGGCATAACCACGAAAGACTGTATTTTCATGGGCAACTTAAATCCAACATATGGATAGCAAATAATTACATTTGCATTTTCATTGGACAAATTTATTTTCGTCAGTTACAAGCAAAGCTTCCCACTGTCAAATTTTGTTGGAAGCTAATAAGCTATACCATACCATATGGTAAATACAACAATAAACCCTAGACTTATGCATATAATTTTTTTTTTTTTTGATAACATATGCATATAAAATTTACTTTACGGATATGAGGTACAAAAACACTAATAAACTATTATTTGAGAATATATTATAGGGGTAGGGGAGGGCCGGCGGCGGAGGGGGGTTGGTGGGTTTATGTTACAAAAAGTGTAGCTAGCCAATTGGCTACGTCAGAGCCCCATCCTTTTAGCAATGTAATCAAGTGTACAGAAGCCTCCAGCACGTCCGTCAGTTGAAAGTTTTTTTGCGCATGCTGATGTCTTCCAGGATGTTGGCTATTACTTTGAGCTCCTAATCCTTTCGATGCTCTAGAGGTTGACTTGTAACCATTGACCTTAACTTGAGCTACATGTCAATTCTAAATCTGCAACTGGCGAAATCAAACAAAAGAAATAAGTTTAGGCATGGGGCATGACAAAGGACCCTAAAACTGTGTTCAAAAGGAACTGCAAAGTATTAACTAAAAAAGTCTAACCATTTACAGCTAAACCCTCTAGTTGTATCTCAATTATTTAACTGCCTCTGCAAATAAGCATTTCATGCCAGTACGTAAGATTTCCGAGTAACTTCACATTTGGTATGCAAACATCATATTACATGAGAATATATGATGTCAACAAATCCAAGAATTTTCACAATTATTTTTAATTATTATACCACAACATGATGTTTGTTGAATTTCCCTACATTTGAGATACCCGGGTATCTTACATACCATGGTGAAAAGTGCCAAAAAAACTAAAGCCTCTTAATATAATATGATAGAGACACTAGAATGGATAGATCCACATAGATATACCTTGACAAGAAATTAAGGGCACACATCAGAAAGCATGCACTTAAATAAATAGCATCACATTTCATTTCTCTCCAGAGTGGAAAACGAAAGAGAACTTGTCTTCCATTACAAGAACTATGCCAAAGGCCATCATAACACTAAAATCAAAAAGAAAGCATAGCTAAAAGAATGTTACCAGTTACTTCTTTCTCTTTGTTCAAGGACCAGTGGATGCTCATATTTACTTAAAAAAGACCTATTACCCACAAGTGCCTAATTCTGTTATAAGGTGGTGACCGTTAACACTTGACTAGCCATTGTCAGAACACAGTACGCTTAATACTTGAGTGATGCCATCAAGTAACATTTTCTCACATCTAAAAGTTTGCAAGTTGGATGTTTACTCTCGTACTCCATAAATCAATTTTCAAATTAAGAACCAAACAAAATAAAAGGGTGGCCCAATTCACGAGGTTCCCGTGGGATCCAATCTGAGGAGGCTCATATGTGTGCTGCCTAACTAGTATGGGCGGGGAAAGCATAAAACAACACCATAAAAAGGGCAGCCCATTGCACAAGGCTCTCCCGTCATTGTGTTTGGGATGGGTAAGATGTGAACAACCTTATCCCTGTGAAGGAGAGGCTGTTTCTCCAAATAGAACCCATAGCCACCTGGTCACCAGGCATAAACACACACCATAATGAGGCCAAAAACCTTCATGTAAAAAATTTGCGGAATAATCTTCTTGACTACCTAATTGACATCTTTGCATATTATCTTAGGACGAATATACTACGTATCATAAAAAAAAAATTTAAAAATAGAGCATCATTCACCTAGTAGTTGCTTATGCAGTTCCTGTAATCAATCGTTCCCGTTCATCTAACTTCTTGATCTTCACAATGCCCAAAAGAACTTGAAAACCAAAGATTGCACAAAAAACATATGCTATGACGGCAGGCACCTGAAAAAGATAACATGCAAGTGAGGAATGAGAATGTACCACTAGACGACCAATTAATTGACTGGGTAATCACAACGAAAAAGACAGGTAGGATGAGAAAAGATTACCCTAATTGAATTAAGATACAGAACTGTTGCAAGATTTATTAGGCTACCAGCAGCTACTGCCTGTTAATCGACAAAAAGGCAACATGAATATGCATCATCCCAACAGTTTTTATTGCCCTTGGTCATATAAAAATATCATACATTTACCAGAAGAGTTGATACAAAAACATGTTTTACAATACATACATACATGTAATATACTTGTGTCAAGAGTCAACTATATACATCCATCATTCACTTAAAATATCTTGGGAGAAATTAAAAATATGAGATTGTTTAAATGTATGTTAAAAAATGTTGATTCATGCCTTTGCAACATATGAACACACACCTGCATGCAAGGGCATTCACAAATGTCCCCATTTTATTTTATTTTCTTTAAAAGGTGATAAAAAGATAACTACAATCATGTATAAGCAGGTAAGTATATTGCAAGCACATGAATTCATTGTCATTTACATAATTTAATGAGTTGTTGCCATTGCATGTGTGATCACACAACAGCTAACATTTGCTTACGGTAGACAATAAATTTGAAGGCCTTGCAAAGCTAAAAAAAAATGACAAATTATGAACATTTACAGATTGTTAAATAGACTCAAACCAAATCCCAAGAAACAAGTAAGCTTATAATTCCACTAAACTATAGGCTGGCTTCACTCACATTCCCTATTGTCTTCTGAAAAGTGGCAATTCGTTGGAATGCCCTCTCAGATTCCAAAGTTCGGACTCGGAGCTTCAGATCACCTTGCTCCTGTGGAAAAATATAGTGTAGCGAGCTGTGATCTAGAATACCAAAAATCCAGAACAAACAAATAATACAAATCAAATAAAAAACTCAAATTATATCAAAGAAAATCCAATTCAGACCAATCTTTGGATGATTTCAGCAAGCTTTTCAACCCTATCAGCCTGTCTAAATAAGTTGTAAAATGCTTGAGATTGTCTGTCCCATCTCTTTCTGAAGTCCTGTACATTGAGAAGAAGGATATGAGACAGGAAGTCACAATTCTTAGACTGAATTCAAGCATGGTAACAAGTGTGGGGCTGCCTTTAGGATAACTTCAACTCCTGCCTCACGGAATCTTAACAACTCCATAGCATAACTACAAGGCCAGGAAGACTAGTTGTGTTAGGTATGCAAAACATATAACCTAAAACTTATAATGTTGAAAAAGAATTTAAAAAAATTGAAACTATGGAGACAGTACTCACGGTTTGGCAATCTCAGTAATATCAAAACGGGGGTCAAGGCCCTTTCCAATGCCATCCAACACTGCAGAAAAGTTTATTTGTTACCTTGCAGTCACATGCAAAGTAACACATTAAACTCGTTAATATTTACCTGAGAAGGCTCTAACAACAAATGTGAATGTAGCAGGAAATCGGAAGGGCTGGTCTCCTGCAATGGATAGTAAATCTTCACCTGTTTAAAGGATAAATGCTACGAGTAAGTGATAAGCCTATGGGTTGCATAATGTTATTGAACTAAGTCATGTTTGGTTTGATGGTATGATATTTTATAAAATGGGAATGGGAATTGGGGTGGGGGTGGGAATGCAATGTTTATTCCTATGTTTAATTTACTATAAATAGGAATGGAATGATAACTTCATTCCATTTTTAAGTTTAATATGCTATAATTGATTTTAAAAAAATACAAGAAAAATTAATTCATTTAGGTAAAATAGGCTTGGCTCGCCCTGATGTTAGCCAACCAAATTTTTGGAATCAGCAGGGCCCAAGCTCATTATTTCGGGGCCCAAGCAAACACAGACAGGTCCAAAAAAGACTTTGGGCTTGATGAGGTAAGCCAGTTGGGCTGGGCCATTTTTAACACATATTGATGAAATGGAATGGGGATTTCATCACTTTTATAATGGAGTACCTATACCTATGATTGTAGGAATGCTCATTCCCATTCCAATGACCTAACCAAACATGTGAATGGCCGAATGGAATGATCCATTCCATTCGGCCAAACATGCGCTAATAGAACACATCGCCCAATTAGTTGAAGTAAAGGAAGTTATGATGCAGATTCCATTCGGCCAAACATGTGCTAATAGAACACATCGCCCAATTAGTTGAAGTAAAGGAAGTTATGATGCAGAGCATGATTTTCATAGTTGAGGCAGGTCATGTCAAACTTCATGGATGTTACCATTTTAACCAATCAGGAAAACCAACGTAAGGTCAAAAATCATAGTATATGGAATTGTATACAGCTTTCCACCTACATGAAAGTTACTGGATAAAATAATAACCAACCAGTATCTTTTAGTCAATAGCTGGAACGATATATTCTTCCAAGAACTTACCTATTTTCATCTTCTCATATGGCCAACTTTATCAGCAATAATTGTTGTATGCATACATCCGAATAATCTAAACCTAAAGACACACACAATTAGACCAGGTGCATTACCAATAGCAGCCAGGCGTTCTTTCTTCTTATTTACTTTTTCCTCCTTGCTTAATGGCTTTTTGAATCCAAGTTCAGCTGTTGCTATCTCTCTCTCTCTCCTTTGTGCAGCCAGACGCTCTTCAAAACTGAAGAAAATTAAATTGAAGAGCTCGAGGTCAGAGATTGCAATAGATTGCGACATAAATAATCAGTACAGAAAACTAACCCTAAACCCTAAAATATTAGCAAGGGAAGAAAATATAAACCTAAAATATCGACAACTAATCACAAATGTGCAGTAACAATTTTCAAAAAAATATCACTTTCTTTTTCTTTTGGTGAGAAAAAGTTTAGAGGGATGGCAAGTTGCCTCATTTCAATGTCAGGGCATACCACACAAGCCTTGACAAGGGCTCACAGTGGTACATACAGATGACCTACCAATGAAGGATCGCGAACAAGAATCAAACCTAAGACCTTTGAGAGGACGCAATCCGATCCTACTTATATATCACTATATTCCTAACATAACTAATCAGGACAGTCAGGTGCTTCAGCACAAACCCTAATCATGAACAAAATTTTCCTTTTCCAAAAGGTTTAGATTCTCCAATCTAGAACACTTTTTACATGATTTTAAGCAGATTCTGCAGGTACTGCAATCAATAATTTACAATCCATATAATGATATTGACTTATAGAAATACAACTTCTGAGTCTCTGGAGGTGTTTCTACTTGTGATGGGTTCAATAAACTACCTATTGAGGAAGAACTGTGCTGTTCGTCTAACAGCAGTCATATCTCCAGTTGGGACAAGAACACCCATTTGAATCATTGATTGAAGGACCTACATCAGTGCACAAGCTTCATTTGGTAAGTAAATTAGAGTCAAGAATGGAATATCAAGCTAGAGTAATCATGGCATTATGGGACACCACCAACAAAAAAACAGTTACTTTACCTTATCGGGATTCTTCTCATAAATTCCATAAAAAGCTTCGAGTAAACCTTCTCGGATATTTGGACTGATACTGAAAGGTGCAACACCAATCGTAATTGCATAAGGCAATCATCTTACCAAGCTTAAGATATTTGTCTTGTAATCCATATATTTTGTTTTTAAATCCATATTTTAAATATACAGAAAAGATAGAGAACATACCTTCCCATCATTCCAAAATCATAAAAGATCAATCTTCCACCATTGACATCATCAACCGCAATATTTCCAGGATGCTGCATGAACAATGTATACATTAGTTACACACAAGAAGAAGAAGCATTAAATTGAACTTCCTGAATGATAATCATGAAATATGAGAATTCCTTATTTAACACACAGTTTCTTCCCCAGAAAAAGGAAAGAGGACATGGCAAGGCAAGATCTCAATGAGTCTCTAGCATAGTTTTGGATGTTTGGCAGTCACTATTCTTCATCATGGGAATGAAGTTACTTTAATGCCCATGTGACCAACCCCTAGGGAGGATGAAGTCTTGGGCACCAGAAGCTTCCTGAGGCAATAGATGATAATCTATATGACAGAAGTAGCACACTTCTTGTACCTCAGGCAATAGATGCTTGAGGATTGCAGTATAAGAGCATATACAAAGACAGTAAATATAACATGTTGGCTTCACTACACAGTTCATCAGCTAGACAATCCATAAAAGCGAGAGAACTCAATAACTACTTAGCAATTCTAAAACCAAGAACGCACCGGGTCAGCATGGAAGAAGCCATGCGATAGAATCTGCTCCAAGTACGACTCAACAGCATATCGCCCTAACCTGTACAAGATAAAGTGAATGTTATATTAATTTGAATTTTAGAGGCAAGCATCAGTTGTTGAGATGCACAGAAGTAAAAGGTAACATGCCAATAGTGGTTTTGTCGACAAAAAAACAAATTCTATTAACCTTTGCCGGTCAACACCCAGCTGATCTATTGCTTGTATTTTGTTTATTTTAATCCCTGGAACATATTCCATTGTCAGAATCTGCATTGGAAAATTAGTTATATTAGAGATAAATTAGAAAAATATCAGAAGAAAATGGGAAAGATGTACAATTGCTATATATCTATGATAAATGAAGGTTAAACCTGTGGTGTGGTATAATCCCAGAATATTGTAGGGACTTTCACATAATCCAAGTTCTTAAAGTTACTTGCAAATAGTTCTGCATTAGCAGCTTCCTTGGTGTAATCAATCTCCTGAAAATTGTTAATTCATGTTACAGTTATGGCATCAGCTAAAGTTGAGGATGCACAGAAGACACATGCAAACATCATACTGAAACAAGAACAGGATCCACAATTAATGTAAGAGTCACTTTATTTATATATTTGCTAGGTTCTAACACTTGTAAAACTGCAGGCCACCTTATCCCTTCTGTCAAAATAACTCAAGTAACATTCTCAGGTATCTCATTTCTGTTTGAATAAAGAGTCTCTTAAATAACCTTCAGAAATCTTTACTAGAATTTTGTTATAAAAGTCTTCCATGAACTAAAGGAACTTCCTTAGTTTCCCCATATGCAATTCCAAAGAGCAGAGCCAGCCTCTTGACTTATCCCATGCACCTGAACCTAATCAAACTCTAAATGAGTAGTCAGTAGTGTTCCTATCTAATCTTAGTGTTTGAATTTTCTACGATGGAGTTACACCAATATGATGGAGAGCTAGACATATGAATTTTTTCAGTTGATCTCCAATAACCTAAGAAAGCAGCAACTTTCCAGAATATCATCACCTGATATAACACGGAGGCACACTCATCATAAATAGCAACCCAATCCCTCTTTGCACCATCTGATTTAGGATCAACTTTTTGAAGATATTCAGCAATAACCTGGATGGAAAAAAAAAAGGCCCAAGTATCATTGTTTTATTCTATGCTGCAAATCTTCACAGGCTGGAAATCCAATTATTAAAAACACACCATGCATGGAAAAATATATAGCAATAAGAAAGTTCAAATTTTGAAGACGACTTGTCAATCTTGGCAGATTACTAAGAAGATAAATTAAGGAGAAAATGTAGAATTATCAAAAAGTAATATCTAATTTGCATGCAGCACTAAAGAGTAAATGTTATATTAAATACTCGTAACACTCACCCTCAGGTTTTTAAGGTCGATATCAAAAAGACCCTTGAGACCAGGCCTTTGTACTTTAACAACAACATCCTTTCCCTTTAATCTCGCACGATGAACCTGACCTGCATTGGGAGAACAAGATATTTCACGATTCTTTTCTTCTAATCAAATATTACAGTAGGTACATTTAATCTCATTTCCTTCTCTGATTGCACATTTCCTATTACAAATACATGCAAAATAAAACATTGATTACCAAGACTTGCAGCAGCTATTGGTTCATACTCAAATTGATCAAAGATGTCACCTACAGGAGCTCCAAGCTCTTCTTCAACAATAGCTATAGCAGTCTCCGAGGGAAACGGAGGAACTTGATCCTGAACCCAAACCCAAACCATAAAATTATAAATGAATAGTAGATTACAAAGCAACTAAGAGAATATCAATAATAGAAAGCCAAACAATAAACAAATAAAATATAAGAAGAACAAATATAAAAGCGAGTTTAAATTTTCATTTTTTCCAAGGAAAATATATACCATCAATACCAAATTCGATAAGAAAGGCAACACAACAGAAGCAAGTTAATATCTCCATGCAAGGAAATAATCTTATAAATGCTGTTCAAAACTTCAATTTAACCTGAAGTTCTGACAACTGGTCAACATATTCTTGAGGAAGAATGTCCACCCTCGTGGAGAATTGCTGACCAATTTTGATAAATGTAGGACCTAATCTCAGAATGCTTTCTTTCAGCCATTTTGCAAGGGCCTTTCGCCTTATGGTTTTCTTTTCCTCAGTCATTCCTCCTGCAAATGATATCTTTGAGTCAAATAAAAAACAAGCAGACACATTGTTGAGATTCTTCAAAATTCAATAAAAAGCTCTTCATAATTTATATGTTGATAGGTTTATTTGTTATTGTTAGGAATGGGATTTAAAACAGGCAAAATTGATAAATATCATAAAATCATGACAACAACGAGATTAACTCTTGAAGCTAAAGCATGAACTTGGGCATTGATGGTGTAGTAAGGATCAACTCTGGCTAGTATAACCAACGTGTCATAACTTTCCCAACTTCTAAACTTCAAGTTCATATGATGTATAATAGGAAGTAAATTAGTTTCTGTTGAGATATATAGTCCCACATTGGTTGTATGTGCAACTAATGTGGAGTTTATAAGGCCTTGGGCACTCCCACCCTTTGAGCTAGCTTTTGGGGTGGTGTATCCCAAGGTTCTTTACATGGTATCTAGAGCCTAACAAGAGGTATCCTAATCCGCGTTTTTTTTCGGTGGACCACTGTCCGCTGAGTAAATTTTTTTTTTTTTTTTTTTCGGAAACAATCATATCTGTCAATTTCCGGCGTCCATACATCGTCAAAGGACCTCTCTGATCACTGTCGCTGTCCGGAACCGCCGTTGACCGCCGTCTCCGACGAATTCTCCGGCGATTTTTCCGGCGAACCATACACGGTTCTGATCGTCCAAACACGGCGGTCTTGTTTGTCTTGGACCCGTTCGAAGATCCTTCTCCACTCGCTCTCACGCGCGTCACAAAGGGGCTGCGTCCAGTTATTTTGCAGCCGCGCGTGGAGGCGCGTGAGGCTGTTTCTTCCGGTCCTACCACCACCGTCCATCTCGCCGTAACCTTGCATCCCTGGATCTGTCCTCGATTTGTGGTTTTGACATCGTTCCGGTTTCCTACGGTGTCCTTTCCCTTGTTGGTTACTGTTCACAGGTGTCTCTTTGCTTTTTGTTGCTGTTCTTTTTGGTTTCAGGTGACCCATGGCTGATTTGTCACCCCACGATGCATCCAAGGGTTCTCAAAAGGCTGACCCGCCTGTTTTTTCTAATTATGTTAATGTTCCGCTGCACGTCGACAAGTTGGATGGCTCCAATTATGATTCTTGGGCTTCTGATCTCCGACTTTGGCTTGATGGACAGGACTACACTGACCATCTCATTACTAAGGCTGAGTCCATCTCGGTAGATGTACGCCCTCATTGGAAAAAGGTTGATGCTCAGTTATGTAGCATCATCAAGTCTACCATCCACTCGTCCTTGAAGCAGATTTTCCGTGCTCACGTCACTTGTGAGTCTGTTTGGCGTCAGGCCAAGTCACTTTATACCAATGACACTCAGCGACTCTATGGCGTTTGTCAAAATTTGATCACTACTATTGCTGCTCAACAACTTGATGTCTCTATGTCTGCTTACTTGGGAAAAGTTCAGAGCCTCGTGTCCTGGGTTCGATCCTCGCCGCCCTCCACTTTCTCTTTGTGAAATTTCTTAGCACAGGAGGTTGGGCCTGTTGCATTATCCACTCTTCAAGCCCAATGGGCTCTTGTGTGAGGGGGCGTGTTGAGATATATAGTCTCACATTGGTTGTATGTGCAACTAATGTGGAGTTTATAAAGCCTTGGGCACTCCCACCCTTTGAGCTAGCTTTTGGGGTGGTGTATCCCAAGGTTCTTTACAGTTTCAAAGGAAGATAGTGACCCTCCAGGCTTCAAAAGCTCAAGAAAAATATATGTGAATAATAAAATTGTAGTCGTTGGATTCTTGATTACGGAGCTTCTGATCATATGACAGGTAATGCAACCTTGTTCTGTTCTTATACCCCTTATTATCATCAGTCACGAATAAGGACTGCTGATGGTAGTTTCTCTAATATTGCGGGAAAGGGATCCATTAAGCTCTCTGAACATATTACTCTGAATTCTGTCCTTCATGTCCCTTCTCTTACTTGCAACCTTATTTCTATTAGTAAACTTTCCTCTGAATTGCATTGTATTGCTAAATTCTCCGCCAAAACCTGTGTTTTTCAAGAACAGGATTCGGGGCTGATGATTGGCAGTGCTAGAGAGGATGAAGGGCTTTACTATTTTGAAGAAGATTCTCATGAAAAGAGATTTTTTGCAAATCACTCTTTATGTTTATCAGATGATTGTAATGATGTTTTGTTGTGGCATCGTCGTTTAGGACATCCAAATTTCTTTTATCTTCAAAAGCTGCTTCCAAACTTATTTATCAATAAAAAACCAAGTTCCTTTTGTTGTGATGATTGTCAATTTGCAAAACACTCTCGTGTTTCTTATTCCCCCAGAGATTATCATGTTTCATCTCCATTTACATTGATTCATGGTGATATTTGGGGACCAGCTCGTGAAAAAAATATATCTGGAGCTCGTTGGTTTATTACCTTCATTGATGATCATTCCAGGGTATGCTGGGTATATCTTCTAAAGGATAAGTCTGAAGCTGCAGCCACTTTTAAAAACTTTCATGCTATGGTACAAACTCAATTCCAGACTTCTATCCAAATCCTGCGAACTGACAACGGTACTGAATATTTCAATTCTGTTCTTGGTGATTTCCTAACCAAGCAAGGTATTATCCATCAAAGTTCTTGTCCTAACACCCCTCAACAAAATGGGGTGGCTGAAAGAAAAAATAGACATCTCATTGAAGTTGCTAGAGCCCTCTTGTTTACAATGCATGTCCCTAAATACCTGTGGGGGGAGGCTGTCTTGACTGCCTCATATCTCATCAATCGAATGCCCTCTCGTGTCCTGAATTTTCATTCTCCCATATCTTACCTTACCCGCTCTTTTCCCTCCTTTCGGGCTCTATCTTACCTTCCTCCAAAATTGTTTGGCTGTGTGGTTTTTGTTCATATTCCTCCACATCAAAGGTCCAAACTTGATCCTAAGTCTGTTAGATGTGTCTTCATAGGATATCCTCCTAATCAAAAAGGTTACAAGTGCTACTCACCTTCTCTTCGAAAGGTATTTGTTTCTATGGATGTTACTTTTTATGAAACACAATCATTTTTTCCCTTGACTTCTCTTCAGGGGGAGTCTATTAGTGTAAATGAAGACAAGTCTTGGATTCCAAATAATTCTACTGTCTTACCTTTACCCTTGGAAACATCTGTTGTTCCTCTACCTTTGAAGACAGGGGGAGTTAATGTACAGGAGACAAGGACAGCAACTGTACCAGAGACTGGAGATCCTCCCGGTAAATGGGGGAAATTCTACAGCAGGCGTAAGTCTCCTCAAGATCCTCTAGACTGCCAGGATTCTGACCCGAGTCCTAGTTCCAGCAATCCACTTGAGAACACTGGTACAGCTAACCTAGATATGCCTATTGCCCTTCGAAAAGGTACTAGATCTTGCACTGCTCATCCTATTTCTCATCACATTTCATATGAAAAGTTATCTCCAGGTTTTCGTGCTTTCAACACTATATTAGACGGTACAAAAATACCAAAAAAAAAACAAACGAAGAGGCATCACACTAATCAAAGAGACTAGACTTTAAAAAAGACTCTAGAATATTCTACAAAAATTATGTCCATAACATATAAGTAATAAGTGGCAATGAGTAAGAATAAATACACCAGAATATCAAAAAAGCTACAGTCGTCCACAAGGGCAGAACCAGCTGGAGAACACTCACGGCTAAGAGTAAACTTTCCCAGATGCTTCTAGATGGTTTATGACTGCGATTACTCAAGTGCAGACTCGATTAACATAATATTAGAAATCCCAGGGGTATGTAACGTATGATGCTAAATCGTATCAGTTTTAGAATTACTAACTTCAGTTTCCACTATTGATAGAAAACACTCCTACAATTAACACATTGAATAAACTTTTTGTTCTTCATAAAATTGGAATACAATGGAGCCCAAGTGCCCCCAGAATAAGAACTCTAACTCAGCAATCTCAGCAGATTCACGCGCATCTCATCCGCATGATTAAAGGAGGAAATCTGTTTACTAGACAAAACTAAAAAGGCTTCTTCAAGCTTAGAAGGACCACATGATTCCAATGGTTTGGAACAAGAACAACTATTATAATCTAGGGATGACAAACGACAAACCTCTGTAAGAGAACTTCTGATTATTCAGCCAAGCCTTGAAGATAAATGTTATAACAAATCCCCAAATTTCCAACGTTCTCTGGATCGTCGAGTAAGTCTTGAATCTGCTCCAACGACCTCCAGGCGCAGCCGCCACCTGCGAAAAAACACACTTTCATCACCCTCGTTCAATCTTGAACACCATACTATTTTTTATTAATATTTTTGTTTACAATCAGAGCCCAAAACACCAATCAACATGGAACAATCATACCTCAACCTGAGCTTCCCCACTTTGTTTGAACCACGCTTCTTCTTTGCCAATCTCCTCCAACCTCTTCTTCCTCCCATCCTCCCTCCGTTTCGAAGCTTCACCAAATTCTTCCGCTGCTACGCCATTGCCATTAACATACTTCACCAAGCTTCCATTGACAACTCCATTCTCACTCTCCCCAACGCCCAAGCTGCCATTCACGTAACCTTTAACCGAACCATTGCTACCGTTTTCGCTCACAACACTTGCAGCAACTCCATTGCCACTCCATTTCACATCACTCACTCTTTCGTCCAACTCGCTCCTCCGCGTCTCTTCAATCAAGGCACCTTCTTCCTTAACGGCACGGATTCGCGTGCGTAGAGTAACATTGTACCTCGAGTTCCTAGAAACGGAACAGCAAGAGCAAAATCTAGAGAGAGAAATACGACGCTTGGGGGTAATTTGGGGAGCAAGAAATTTGAGTTCGGGTAAGAGTAGAGAAGACGAAGCCATCGATCAGTGCTTTCTAAAGAGAGAGAGAGAGAGAGAGAGGGGATCAAACTCGAACCCTAGTTTTCATGGCGCATGAGAAGGAAATGGAGTTGGATTCGAATGAGACAGTGAAAGAGTGAAACGGAGGAAGTAGAAGACACACAAAGACAAACAGTAGAAGAAAGGATGCGAATGGGTGGAGATAAAGAGGACACGTGGCTAATAAAAGATGAGCCGTGAAGGATTTCAGAGATTTTGATTGGTTCTGGAGTTTAGCGAGTTGAACTGAGCCGCAGAAGCTCTTGGCTTACGTGGAAGGTGTTTGGACGCTTTACGCTTACGTGTCCGCTAGCATGTTTTGCTCTACCCATTGACGGTTACCCATGCAAGATCAATGATTTGGGTTGTTGGGAGATTTGTTTTAACGGGCTTCCGTAGTCTGGCCCGAACCCAATGTTATGTCAAATATATAAATGAAAAGATATAAATAATTCTCATGTGTTTTAGTAAAACGATTCTTCAAAAATTCACGATTGATTATTGAGTATTTTTTATGGAAAAATATTTTCTCAAGTTGTATGAGAATTCAATTCTCATATTGTAATCCTTTGATTTGCGTGCAAAATTTTCTCTTTTTTTTCTTTTTTTTTAATAAATGTGAAACTCACTACTAATTGAATCACCATGAGAATTGAATTCTCATGTAACATGCAAAAATCAAACCCCATTTTTTATTTACAAAATTGGAAGAATATTTAAGGAAGTTTTATTTTTTCTAATATAACAATGATAAACCTATAAACTCATATAAATTATTTAAATCCCTCACATTAGTCCATTCTTAATGGCTTGTCAACCTCATTATCTCTTTGGTAGGCAAAAGTATACTGTTTTGCATTTTTGCCAGTGTCATTTTATCAACGTTTATTGCTTTGTCATCCTCATCAGAGACTTGAACTCGATAATCTAGCTCTGTATTTGCTACTGTATAATATCGTCATCTTGTTGGGCCTAAGCCCCTTTTCTTACACGCTAAAATAAAAAGAATAACAACCATTTAGAGCGTCACGGGCCATACCCACACAAATCGCAAACAGAAAAGTGAAAAGAGAAGAAAGAATAGAAACATAAATTTATCCTAATTTATTTAACGTGGATTACGTCTAGTAATATTTAATTATGTTTTTTTGCTACATTAGTTACAAAGCACTCAATTTACAAGATGAATATAAACAGACTTAAAAAATTTAAGTAACCATAGTTATTCACGATCTCAAACCCAAATTAAATAAGTAAAATAAAATGAATCTGCGTTCCGCAAATAAAAATTATTGTCTAAATGTGAAATATAAGCCATAGTCAAGAATAACACTTAAAAGTTTAATCTGTTACCATGACATTTATTTCCTTGTTATAATTAAGTATTTGCACCTCTAATATAACTTTAAAATGAATTGCCACTTTAAACTAAATACTGAGAGAAAGCTACATAGTATCGACAACTAGTCACATCCAATTATTATTGGCTAAGTATATTTGATTATATATATGTCGCAACTTAATTAACTTATTTCCACTCCAGTAGACAAATTTTAAATCAGTTGTATTACACTTTATGTTATTAAAACAAAAAAGTTACAAATATATTTCTTTTTATTATAAATGGAAAATAATAATTGGGTTATTAAAAAAAAAAAAAAAAAATCATTGAGTCCTTTCTGACAATTGATGTCCTTTACAATTCGAAACAATTAATTTGGACCCATTCTGACTAATTGATCTCACGTCAGGATTTTGTAATTCACGTGTCATACATATTGATGTTAAAAATATTACAAATTGATCATTTGTTTTTTTTCAATCCTCCATTTCTAATAGCTGTAATATAATTATGCAATAATGCAAACTGCAAAGATCTATGCATAACTAAAGAAACAAATACATTTCATTTCATTTTTATATATAGATGTGAAGAGAATCTTATCACTATTATATACGGCCTGCTGCAATTCTGAGATCTCATCAACGTTACGTTTACAATCTTCTTCTCCTTCACGCTGCACATTATTTCTGAGTTATGATTGTGATGTTATCTGACTTTCTAGCTGTCTCTGAAAGCCGGCAATTAGTTGATTAGCAAATTTGCAAATGGTATATAAATAACTATTAACTAAATTAAAACAGACAATAGGTCATAGGGTAATATATTTCAAATTGTTTTATTCAGTTGTCAATAATCCTCGAGCTACCAACATAAGCACAAGCCAAGACTATTCATTTATATTATAAGAATATATTTTTCTATCAACAAATGCAAACTATTATTTTCAAACCTTATAGAACATAATAAAACTTAAAATAATAATGTATACATAATACACCGTTGTATCTAAAAATAAGAGAAGACTTTGGATTTATCATTTTAATTTACCTACATGCAAGTAACATTCGGCCAATTAAATAGCACATATTAGATGGATGGTTCAGAACACTACATATACAACTTTACTTGTTCTTAGTGGAAGGATGGGATCGAAACAGAAATACAGCTAGCATACACATTTACTAAAAGACACGAAGAGCAGATATTTTGAAACAAAAGTAAAAGAAACCAGAAATTGGTGAACAGCTAGAACCGAATCTAAAAGTTAGAGATATTACTGAAAGTTACCCCTTGAAAACATTAGCATGCACTCAACACAGTTCAGATTTTAATGTCATTAGTTAGATTTGCACTTGGGAGGCTTTCATAATTGAGATTTTGATAATTTTGCTCATTTTATATATATGTAACATATTTTACGCGTTTGATCGTGTATCATTGTACGTTGTTAATATAATTATGGGTTCGACTTCCATGTTTGTCAAACTATAATAGATATATTATTATTGTTATAGTGTAATGCAGTACTTAAACATTTTGTCACATTCAATAATTGAATTTTGTATGTGCAGCTTGATGCTATTAATTAACAACCATCTCACCTAAAATCTTAAAATCAAGTGAAAACCAATCAATAATTTTATATTTTTCTAATACTCAATTGGGCGTGAAATGTGAATATTGCGTCCGGCCCGTATTTATACTTCATTTTACTAGAAATTGGAAGGTGAGGATTAATCACATGGTCGTACAGACTCTAATATTATCATAAACAATCACCTCACATAAAAGCTTAAGATGTTAAATGAAGGTATATTAATGATTTTATATTTCTATATATACATATTGAGTTCCATTTTTCTTATGTTGGTGGAAAAAAGTTATCTGCAGTAACCCATTTTTCTCTCTTTGCTATGTCAAATGACAATGTATGAGGAGAGAAAAAAAATAATTTTAATATTATAATTATAACAACACATAATTATAATTGATTGATGCAAGATAACTTTTTCCGGCACCAACATGAAGACAATGATTTCCCATGTATATTATTGTGATATAGTAAATGCACTTAACCATTTTTCATGTCACGTTCAATAATTGAATTTTGTATATGCAGCTTGCGGCTCTTAATTAACAAGTATCTATGATGAGATATTGAGAGCCGGTTCAATATATATATTTTTAGTGCATGCGGGGTGGATGTAGCTTCAAAAGGTTCCAGGTGTCAGAAGCCTGTTCGAGAGCTTTTTTATGTGAGGTTCTGATATTTTTCCCTCAGAATCCTTCAGGTGAGTCTTGACAGGTTGGAACTGATCAAAGAACCAAGCCAGTTTAAGACATATTCGATAAGGGGAAATGCGAAAGCTAAAGTGTTTCTTTAATTTTTATCTATGTATTTTATTTTGAGGTAGGATTATTTAGTGTCAAATTTAAAATTTGACACTTCATCTAAGAGTTATTATTATATCAAAAAAGATCAATGGTATCATATGTTTACAAATCAGAATTACTGATCTTTTATGATCTAATAGCTCTCAGATGAGGTGTCAAATGTGAAATTTGACACTGATGTTACACATTTGACACTGATGTTAAAGGATCCGTAATCTTTTCTCTTATTTCCTTTATTTAGCTCAACATTAGCGCATGAATTGCAATTGTTTCAAGAAGAAGTCAGGTGGAAAAGAAGAAAATTGGGACCGAGGGTTGTGATGCCTTGAAATGATACTCTCCCGCAACATGTATATGTGATAAAAAGAATCTCATTGAGACAAAGCAACATAAAAGTAGTGCAAAGTAAAAGCATATATCCCAGTGCCTCATCTTTTTGAGGCCTTTTTTAAAGCCGTACAAAAATAACATAGCACTAGTACGAATAATTCACGTTATGGGTTCTGATTAAGAATTCCAAACTAACTAAATGCCAACATTTTTTAACCCATTTTCCATAATCATTCTCTCATCATTTAGCTTGCAATTTCAAACAACGAAGGTTTTGATATGTAATTATTGGTCCATATGGAAAGCATTTTCTCTTTTTTTCAAAGAACCTCATAAAAAATGCTCCCTGAAGGACATATACAAAATATTTTGCCAAACCCCACAGATTATCTATACTTTGAACATAATCCAATGTACCATCATGAATAAGTTCCAACTTAAACTTTCGAACTTTCAATAGTTGGTTTATATATATTATTATTTCTCACATGACCAATTAAACATAAGATTCCAGCTAGAATGATATTTATTTAATGGACATTGCCGACACTTTATATTTGTTCCTTTTTCAATAGGTAGCTATGTATAAAATTTGGTATTAATTAAACACATACTTCTGACAAGGTGTTATCTGATTTAAATATTCAAGGTGTATATGTATATGTTCATTGAATAAAAGTAATGTTTGTCACTTTTTTTGTTTTGTTTCAATTTATTATGACCAAGTGGGTCCTGTTAATTTATATAAAGACCATCCTTTATGATCTTCTTCACCACCCTCCAATATTCCAAATCAAAGCACCTTTCTCTGCTTTTGCACTTTATATCTCCCCAACTTTTGTTCCCGTATTATAAAAGCCGCAGCACCTAAGCTATAAGCATCATTTGTGGTGCTTCTACACTTGCACTCATAGGGAGAGAAAGAGAAAGAGAGAGAGAGAGAATCTTGTTTAATTATCTTCAGTTCCTCTCTATTGTTTTCTCTTGAACATGGCAGGGAAGAGAAATCAGACAAGTCCAGTGGGAAGTCCAACATCTGGGAACATCTCAGATAGTTCTTCAAAAGAACAAGACAGGTTCCTCCCTATAGCAAACGTGAGTCGTATCATGAAAAAAGCACTTCCAGCCAATGCTAAAATCTCAAAGGAAGCAAAGGAAACAGTTCAGGAATGTGTGTCAGAGTTCATAAGCTTCATCACTGGTGAAGCCTCTGACAAGTGCCAGAAAGAAAAGAGGAAGACAATTAATGGGGATGATCTTTTGTGGGCTATGACAACACTTGGGTTTGAGAACTATGTTGGACCTTTGAAGGTGTATCTCAACAACTATAGGGAAATTGAGGGAGAAAAGAGTTCTGTGGGTAGACAAGAAGATTATCACTCTCCAATCACAGAAACCAATGATGGGGTAGCTGAAATCAACAAGTTGACTCATTCTGTTTCAACCAAAACAGACTTTCCAAGTTTCAATGGTGGATTCTACTCTGTTGGGTCTCAAGTTACTCCAAAGAGCTTCACAGAGATTGGAGGGATCACAAGTTATAGAGAGAGTTCCATAAACAGGACCATTGCTGAAAGTGCAGTCAATGATGATCAAGATGCAAATGGTAATAGAATGATGCAAGCCAACCTACGTTATAGGGTTGAATGGTAGAGGTTACATGATAGCAACAAGTTACTTCTCTATTATTTATATACGGAATTAATATTTCTCGTGTTATATGAAATATTTTATCTCCTACACACACAAAAATATGAAAATATACGGAGCTCGTGTACTTTTATGTTTACGTGCGTAGGAGATTTATATCCTATAACATGAAAAATATTAATCTCATTTTATATTTATATATAAGAGTTTATATTATGGTATAACTTTGTTGCTGATTGGCTTATTTGAAATCTAATGATAAATTTTACACACTTGGAGGATATATTAAAGTTATTAATTGGTTACTGAATGTAATAGTGTTTATTGGACTTTGGAGTTGTAACATGTAACTATTTAGTACTTATGTTTTGACATAATTCATCAGTAGTGTTCAAGTCAAAATGTTCACGAGAATATCTAAGATTGTACACTAGACGATTAGGAAGCTAAAAAGGTTCATCTTCTTCATATTGAACAGGCAATTTAACTAGGTGAAGAGTTACAATCAAAGTGTGCTTTGTCGATTATTGTCAAGGTCTTAAATGGATAATACAATTTCAGAGATTGGCTCTTTAGTTTAAAGGAAAGAAATGGTGGGACCTAATAGAAATGCTTTTAGTGATGGCACTGATTATGACTTCAACAACTCTTGGGCTCTAAGAAAACTATCATGAATAGCATTCTGCATCCAACTCTCCTACCCTATTTTTCATTTTTATTAATGTCATGTTTTTTCAAAACCACTGCAACGACACCGTAACAGGCATGAGTATGTAGATGTTATTGAATATATAAATATCATAGAATATCTAAATAATATAAAAATATTAGAAAAAGAATAATAATATAAATAATGCCCCAAATGTAAATTTATATATAAGTGAATATAAATAAATATAATAAAATAAAATATTAGATTTAATATTTCTCCAATCACGAAAAATATAACTTATGTCTTGTGATTCCAAAACGACGTCTATTTGAGATTGGAAGAAATATATTTTTGAAATTCTAATTTATTCTAGGACTATTAATCTTTATGATTATAATTTTTTTCTCTCAATCCTAAAACAAAGACATTTTAAAGGTGACTGAAAAAACATTAAATCCTAAAATATTTTAAATACATACTATTAACATTGTATATATGATATAAAAATATAAAATTGAATAAACATATTGATTTATTTATTATTAATCCAAATCATTAATTATGTTTTGCATGAACGCAACATAAAGCAATCGTCTTAGGTAGGGAAGTTTCATCAACCCAGAACCCTCAAATGCATATGGCTAAAGTACTCGTTGTCATTCATAAATAAAGGACACACAAAAACAAATCTTGTAACATGATTCCGTTTTCTCATAAGTTCTCCAGCAATTATTCAATCTTAGTTTGCTAAACTTAAGTTTTATGATTCTATAAGACAATATCAATGCAACTGTCTTAAGCAGGTGTTGACAGTCCACAAGTTTTTTTCCCCAGTAAATACACATCCTTTGATTGTGTGATTGATTCTAGCAGGTCATTGGCTTGGTTTTAGTAAAGTGGTCTTGCATAGACCTCATGTCATTGAATAACTAATGAAAATAAATTGAAATACTATTATTCTATATGGGACGTTCCGCGCTTAACTTTATCACATTATAATTAACTGAAACAATTAATCGTTAACTTAAATAATCAGTTATTAACTTAGTGCGGTTAAAATAAATTGAATTTTGTTGTAAAACCACTGAAAGTTTAAATTGTATCATCGAAGATGCCAGTACGACAAAATTATGTTCTTTTCCCCACATTGTATTGCACTAACCTATTCTAGATGCCGTACAGATTACGGTACCTATTTTGTAGCTTCCATTGGGAAGAAGAAAACGGATTTCTGCCCCATCCCTCAGCGGCTCAGCCAGGGGTACGTAAATCAAAATGAATAGCTTTGTGTATTCTATTTTGTAACAAAAATGGAACCACAACAGAAATGAACTGTCCTGATTCCTGAAGACTTTCATCTTCAAATTATAATGTTAAGATTCTGGAGAACTCGTACTCACAAATTAACACTTCAGAGAAATCAATTTGATCAGGATTGTAAACAGGAACTAAACGCACCAACAAACAAAGAATGGATGTAATGAAATTCAATCCTTAAAATTGATGTAAATGCATTAGAATCTTGGAATTGTTAATCCACATTCAGGTAATCCATGAAATTGTCCTTTCTGTAAAAATACATAACACCTACGATGTTATAATAACAACAGCATATTCGGAGCCGAGCTACATTAGAGAAACAATAATGAATTTATTTCTTCATTTAGCTTCTAATCAAAACTGTCATACATCTAATTTTGACGGGAAAAAGAATAATCTTAAGACAAGCAAGAGCCATGCAAATTGCTGCTCCTGAAGCTCTCAGAAATTCTCTACAAATTGGAAGCCAGAAATATGTCTCAATTCCTCCTAACACCTAGTTCACTTCTCTAGGACTTCTGACCTACAATTTTACATTGTATGTCACTTTAGACAACAACAATGGCAAAGAAAATTTGATGGGCACCAGAGGGTTGCCTCCAGAACTTACATATATAACAAAATATCTGTTGCGGTTGGCAAAACAAGCCAGGAAAATTGCCATTTTTATCTTGGAGCCAATCACAGAACCTCATGAGCCTTTCCATAATACCTGTTTATGAATGGAGACTGCAAACACAGATAATGACACTCAATGTACATTATAGGTGCAAGGTAAATGCATTCTGATGTAATCAACTAGAAATTCAAGACAAAGTGTAATAATTTCAGTATCAGCCGCCATCCTGCCCTGAATAGTCTTTCTTTTTTATAAATCATATCAGATATATCCATCCAAAGGTATGTTCTTTACTCAAAACATTCATGCCAAGAAACAGACATATTTTGTGCTGAACCAGATTAAAAGGGATATAAATTCAGGGAAAGAAAATGGTTACTGCCATAAAGATGTTGCTATGTTTTTTCTCTTTTCCCTTAAATAAATTGTAAGCAGTATCAAATTCAATGTGAACCAGGTTGATCAAAAGAAGAAAAAAAATGAAAAAGAAACTAAAATGATATTGGCTAATCCTTTTAGAATTTTGATAAAACAAACCACAGAAGTACAGTTGCCAATAGTTCAATGATTTCATACCTCTAATTTGGATTAGCTAGCTGATTTTTTTTTAAACCAAGTACAGCCTGTATTTTTCTCAACTCCTTACGTCATTTACACAATTCAAAGATGAAAAGAGAAATCGAATATCTCCTTCCATCAATGCTTTCTGGAACCTCAGTTATCCTTTATTAGACACACATATGTACACATACACCCCTAAAATGCCATCCTTTCTCCCTCAAAATGCATTACAAGTAATGTCTTATTAAAGAAAATACAAATTTGTCAGAGAATAAGATGACTCCCTAAGGTCAAATTAGGATGTTTGCAGAAGAAATTGAAACTAAAGAATGTCATATTAGAGCAGTACTTTGAGATAAGATTAGGAGATTGGCTTCTACTTTGGTGTAAAGCACATAGTCATTTTGAGGGGGGCTCCCTCACAGATAAGTTGTTGAGGGATTGGGTAGATTCCATTGATGTTTTTTTTAGTGTTTTTATTGTTTGTATTTTCTTTTTATTTTAAGTAGGATCATTTATCCTCCTAACTATTTCTAATCATCTCCCGCGGAAAAAAGAAATATAAAAAATAAAAACTCATATTAGAATGCCCAAACACCTACCTTAACATTTGATACATCGGGTGCATCTGGAGATGAAACAGGGTAGAACTTATAAAATCTCATACTCTCCAATGCAGCTTTACTTTCCTCGCTCATTTCTTCAATGGCTTTTCTCCGAGCTTCCCTTGCCTACAAGAGAGGAAATAAGGTAAAAAAGCAGAAAGCAACACATTATGTACAGAACCAACTGCACCAAAAGTACCTCTTTATTAGCCTTCTTTGCTTCACGAACCTCTACCTTGACAAAGTCCTAAAAAAGTAAAAGTATCAGCGTAACTTACCACTTAAAGATATGGAAATTATAAATCAATTATATATATTCCCTTATTTGGTACCTTGAAGGCATCCTTTTGATCTTCTGATAACACCTCCTCCTGTATGAGCTTATCAGTAAACTCCTGCAGAATATATAACAAATAAGCGCATAGAGGCCATTGCTCATTGTTATTTTATTTTCCAGTTGCCCTTTATTTTTACCCTGTTTCTACTAAGAGGACAATAAAGTAGAGAAAGAGTGAAACACATAAAAAAAAAGGACAAACAAAAGGCCTTTCTCTCATGTCCCACGGCCACAATCTCCATCAAAGGATGCAGATAAGTCAAGATTTACTAGAACCCAATAACATAGCAACATGCAGCAAATTATAGTCCGCAATAGGAATTGCAAAATGACAAGCAGAAGAAACATTAAATTTCCTGCTGAATAATGTCAAGCTTCATGAAAATTGGCAATTATATGATTGTAAGTTGTAAAAGGATACTATAATTTCTAAACTGCAACTGCTAGCTAGCTTAATCTGACATATTCTAAACTACAAACACCAGAAAGTTAATTCATTACCTCAAGTTCATCAAATTCCCAATCAAATCCACAGTGGACCTGCAACAAACAATACATAAGTAAATATATAGAAAACCATGTATGGCACTGATCCGTCCAAGTTGATAACAAAAAATTATTCAGAAGATTCATTTTTTACACTTATCAAATGAAAAAAAAATGATCCCAAACAATCCAAAAACTGTCATTTCACTAAGAAAAGTCTTTTCTATCATAATTACCGGATTTGGCTCAGCTGGAAACATTATTTGAACCTCAGTGCTCTGTTCAAGTTCATCTTCCTTAAATGGATGATAGAAATCTGCAGAAAGAATAGCAATCATGAACAGCTATCTTAATAAGAACATTAACACTAACTGATGATGAACATTATGCCTCAAACAAAATGAAGAACCAATAATTGATGAGTAAATTATACTCCCCTCCCCTGAAATGTTTATGTTACACTATCCTCCCCTCCATTTTAGAAAATTACACTCTCTTCCCCTAAGAAATTAATATGAGTTACATTTTAGTTCATTTTAATGTGAACAAGCTCTTTATCGGCAAATTTTCTCTCTCTATGACTCTCAGCATTATCGGCAGTTAGTTTTGAACCTCTACTATCAACTTCGGGACTTCAGAAAATGAAATGAAGATTGTGAAGGAAGTTTTGAAGACAATAAAAGAGGTGTTTAAAACTTCATTTTAACTTCTAAATTCCTAAAATCAATAATAGGGTGTTCGCAATTAGCTACCGGGGAAACAAAAAGTAGCAGAGAAAGGGAAAATGCTCCTGGGAGGCTCATTTATAATTGCTCACCACTGCTAAAAGGTTTTTAAATATTAAAAAGGACTAAAGTGTATAAATTTCATCTCTTGGAGAGACATGTATTTTTCAAAAATAAAGGATAAGACTGTAATTTGAACATCTCTCAAGAGAGAGACGCGTAATTTACCCATAATCAATCAACCACATAACTGAACTGCCCACAATTCCCCATCATTCTCACCCTTTTTTTAAAACTATTTAATTAGATTTCATTATTTTTTTCCCACTACTAGATAAAACTGATATAAATATTCATGTGAACAATTGTAATATTCTAAAGCCAGAAACCTTACAAGGCAAGCAGTACTCGTATTTCTTTAATCTATCCAACTTCAGGTGTTTTAAAGCAGATCTGCACCACAGATTGTGACACATGTAAGATAAAGTCCTATTCATAATGTGCTACAAAGTGTGTGGATAAAAATCTTAAAATGCAATTACCAACAATTACTAAAATAAAGGGTCAATTCAACAAGCTGCATAAAGGAAATAAGGTGCCAAATCCATTTTAAGATGGAAGAAAATATCAGAGTGACACTTTCAGTTTTCCCAACAAACATTCTTATAAGAGGTTGAGTCTATTTGTGCCATGTGGGCACGAAACCATGGCAAATGGGACACGCCAAGGATAATGAAAACACTTTCTGAAATTCGCAATGACAAAATACAGTTGCATCAACTAAACAAGCCACGTACTGGAGGGTAAAACACAGACAATCATGCAGAAAGTTGAAGATTCTGCACACTATTTGAAAAAACTAAATATTATTTTTGGCTACATGCAGGAGAAGGGTATGATATAACTTCTCATAAAATTTAATTTGAAAAGTGAAAAATGGTGACTATCAAAATTAATAGAGAACAGAAAAAAGCACAATAACAAGATTATTTAAGCTATAACCTTGCAACATAAAGGTAGATGATATTCCTCAGAAAACAACCCTTTAACACAGTAAGGAAACAAAAAAAATTAAGGCAATCAAACAAAAACCTATCAAGATGCAAGAGTCTGTTTTATAAGAGAGATTCTTTTCAGAGGAAATCCTTTAAATCAGTACTTCTAATGAATTATCATCTTCAATAGTAATAACTGAAGTTCCGAAACATGCTACAGGAGACAAAATTGCCACAGGAGGGGCAAAGAAAAAGCTATACCTTCTTTGGGTGCAACGCAAGATAAATATCTGAGACTTTAGTCTATCGACTTGGCTATCTCTGATGAAGACAAAAAATCATATGAAGAAGTTCAGAGATGATCAAGAAGCAATGTTTCATACAATGATTCCAAAGAAACCACCAAAAATAAACAAATTGGGATGAATACCGGTTCTCCAGAGGAATATATGGAACCCAGTCCATTTTCATTTGTTTCATGGGAATTATCTCTTCAGCCTCTCTCTGAACTGAGTTAATCCCAATTTTATCAGATGGTGGGAAAGGTGATACAACCTGTTGGCAGAAGGAAGTTGAACTACCTTTGATATTAAAATCACAACGAAGAAATAAATTTTCAATCATCAAAATTGATACATTGCTGACTCAACATGTAAAACTAGTAACAAAACACATTCCATGAACTGGCATTTCAAAAATAACACCTTAACCCCTAAAATATTAAGGATGTGTTTCTAAGTTTATACCCAAGAAAGAGGAACCACTAGGAAAGACACACAAAGCTAGAAGGAAAATATTATTATTGCAAATTTGCAAGATCAAACAGTCAATCTAATTTTCATGGAAAAAACATAAAAGCAATAATCAATTTGGTCAACACATCATCATGATACATGTATACAGCCCAGTTTGACAACTTACAGCTACTACAACAGGTATGCAGACAACTTTGCTTTCACCTTTAAACATAACCAGTTGAGCTGCAGATGACAAGATGGATAACACGTAAGATAAATGACCAAATGAGGGGAAACGGCTACAAAACAAATTAGTTTCCTTGCCACCTACCAAAATGTAGGAAAAAGGGGGGGGGGGGGGGGGGGGGGAATGAAGTTTGCAAGCTACTTACGCTCAGTGCAACCAAAGAGGTAAACCTTTTTCCCATTCAGAATGCCACCCTCTTCAAATGCATTCTGTACACAAATCATCAAATAAAACAGTTAACTTCGCTTAAGCACAGCATAAAAATCATGAATGAAAATCTAAGTGGTCCCAATACTCACTTCTAGATTAGAGAAATCCCACTTGATTTGATAGACGGAATCCAATTGGTCCCACTGGCATCATAACACGAGGCAGTAAGAAAAATATGCAATCAGTAACAACTCGTAATCGTAAAGCAAGAAAAATCCACAACTAAACTTAACAAACCTCTGTTCCAACAGAGAATGCTTCCCTCCACAAGTCTTCCTACACAATCCAAATTGACAAATCAGTAAAAGCAATACAACAGAAATATCACAGTTAAGTTTGATGTATTTGGATAATGCCACGACACCTTATCCAAAATGAAACACTATCGATAATACAGAATCAAGCAAATAATCTAAATAGTTATAGCCACTTCCAAGTATAGCTAGATCTAGGTACCGCTATTTACGAATTCTCAACTCATTTAGTAAACAAAAGGAGAGTGAAAAGCAATCATTGTCGTTTCTCTTTAATAAATAATAAAAGGTTCCATTCCATTCCCAATGTTTCTTCTTCGGGACATAGTTAAATGCTAACATAGATATCAATTTAAACACGAAATGTAAGAAAATGAACCAAATAACGCAATTTGAACTTGAATAGCCAATCAAAACCAAAAGTGTAAATATAATATTGGGTGGTGATGTACTAACCAAGTTGCGCTTATCTTCGAAGTACTCGGGTTCGGATTCGGGCTTAGAGGCCTTGACCCGTTTAGCTCGAGAAGGTGGTTGGTCCTTGTTTTCTTGGGAAGCTGTTGCTGCATCTGGTTTGGGTTCTTCTTCGTGCTTCGTCTTCCTCTTAGCTCCTTTCCTCATTGTACTGTGTACTCACGGACGACACAGAATCTATTGCCAGATACCAAAGAGAGAGCGAGAAAGAGATAGGGTTTTGGTTCGAGCGTGAACCGAAGGCGCTGGATCCGGATTCAAATGGAGAGAGGATTTTGAAAAGGCTTTTTTATATGTATATATATATAATAAAAGATATTTAAAACGGTGTTTCAAGGCGTGAGCGAGCGTGAGAACGACGCTGTTCTAGTTCTAGAATGACAAAGACAAGAATGGTAGCATTTAAGGGGGTATATATATTGCATTCAGATTTCAAACGATTTTAATGGATTGTTTTTGTACACAAAAATTTATTGGTATTTGATTAAGTTTTTAATGGATTAAAAAAAAAAAATCACGTGATATTCGATCAGGATTTTAAAATATTATTTTAGAATCTGTCCAAATCCGTTGGTATTCAATCAAGATTTTAAATAATGAAATCACAGTATTAAAAAATCCAAAGATTTGATATCAAAAAAAAAAATCGACGATTTTAATGGATTTTCTATTGGTGTGGATTTCGTGAGACTTTTTAGTGAAAAATATAAATAAGATGCCTCTCTCACAATCTCACTTCAACCCTTATGATTTCTTGAGATTCTTCTATTGCAGTGTTTTCTTCTTCTTTTGGTAGATTGACTGCTCGAAATTGGGTTCCATCATAGGAGTTTCGTCAAAACTAAAAAAAAAAAAACATATTTTTGGGCAATTTTTATCACAAATAACCCAGAAATAACAAACCAACGATATTTTAATATAATCTATCTCAAAAATAACATATTTTTGAGTCATTTTTGAGAAATTTTGAAAGTTTAAAAAGTGATTTTTCAAGCAATGAGTCGCGATTTTTTTTAGGACAAAATGTGCTTTTTGTATTAAGAACAAAATAAAATGGTGAAAAAATAAGAGGGGAACTTTCGTATTATTTTCGTTTTACATCAATGAAACAATATCAATTTAAAGAAAGATTGAAACTTTCATAATATGAAATCTATATTTCGTAAGAATACATTCATGAACGAAATTCTTTCACTATAAAAAATGATTTAAAACAATTTTTGTGTCAATAGATAACTAAAAACTTGTTTCTCAAAAGCCCCAAAAGCAATTTAAGGTTTTAATGTATCGATTGAAAAAAAATTGAGAAATTTTCTAAACTTTCATGTAATTAAACTCAAAATTTTAGATTCAAAATTTTCTTAATATTCAATGAAAATATGCATATGATATATGGTTAGAAAATTTCAAAAACCCCAAGGTTTCCAAGATCAATTGCAAAAAATTCCAAATAAAATTTTATTATGAACTTTAGGTTCTATATGCAAATTTAGAATTATTTTTATAATTAAAAAAATTGGGTCTTATAATCATATATGCATAGCTTTGATACCAAATGAAGAAGATGATTTTCAACCCATTAGATATGTAAAAAGCTGTTGTTTTATAATTTTGAATGTTTGTTAAAAATTATATTAATGTTTGGGGCAGGATATACTTACCACAAAAAATTTACCACATTTACAATCAACCTAATCACTGTTGATTTCCTTCAATCTAAATGTTATAATTTATTGAGAATTAATAAATATGACCTAATAATTTGCAATAAATTATAACCGTTAGATTGACGGAAATCAATGGTGATTAAGTTAGTTGTAAAGGTTGTAAAATTTTTTGTGGTAAGTATATCATTCCCCATTATATTTTACTGAGAGAAAATTATATTTGGTTTTACATTTTTTATTAATTTCAATGTATTTCTTTGTTATTTTTTTTATGGGGAATATTATATTTACAACATATCTTTGTCTACAATCTTTTACAATCATATCTTAACCGTTGATTTCCGTCAATCAATGATTATTATTTTCGCAAATCAAACTTATTAATTAATATTTAATTTGCAATAAATGATAACCATTAATTGACAGAAATCAACGGTTAAGATATGGTTGTAAATATTGAAAACAAAAATAGGTTGTAAGTATAACATTTCTCTTTTATATTGACTCTTGTAATTTTGAATGTTTGTTTGTTTTTTAAAATTTTATAAAACCATATTGTCTTTTCAAATCTTATGAATTCTATTAAAATCATTTAAAATTCAATCTTATGAAATCTTGATTGAAAAAAAAGTCTTTTAAAAAAGTTTATAAAGTCTCTCCAATTCTAAAATGTCATTTAAAATCTGTAGAATTTTTTATCTCAAAAAGTCTTTTAAAATCCTAATCTAATACACCCCCCTTAAATGGTTAAATTTAATATCTTATTTAATTAATGCTTTTCAAAAAATAGTTTTTTTTTTGTATCCTCTCAAAAAATACTTTAATTACAAAATTTGAATGCATTTCGCATTAATCAAATTTTCATACTAAATAATTAAAGAGAAATGCTTTTCTTCTTTCACATGAGACAACATTTCATTCCCACACATACATCGACTTCCGTGTCAAGCTTTTTTTTTATTTTTTATTTTTTTTTTAAATTGCTGGTCCCACTTTTTTGTCTCAGTAGGAGACAACTCTTCTCTCCTTTTAAAGGAGAAAAGTATTCCCCATAATTAAAAAGCTTTCATAAGTTATTGTAGTCAAAAATCTATAAAATTATAAGAGTATCTTAAATGAAACTAGAACACATTCATTTTCAGTATTTGTCTATTTAAAATATCTTAAAATAATAACGTACATATTGCTTTTCTTTTTCTTTTTCAACCTAAACTTGATTTAGAGTGTTTTAAATGCGGCATGAAAGTATTCCACCTAACCAGTTGGACTTTTAACATAATTTTGTTTATTTAGAAAAATATTTCTGCAGTTATTACCGATAAGTTATTTGCATTTATTTCTAAAACGACGTCGTTTTGATATTGAAATCTTAAAAATTATAAAAATAAAGATTATTATAACCCTGAAATAAATTAAAATTATAAAAATACCATAATTTCTGTCCTGAAATGACGTCGTAACTGCAGATAATTTATCTGCAGTAACCGCAGAAAAAGCGAACCCTTAATGCATATTAAGGAACTATAGAAATAAAACAGCATGCCAAAGAGGTTTGGCGCGGTTGGTTACGGGTTCGCTGCTGTCTCCAAAAGAATGACAGTTCGAACCCCGCTCGCCGATGCATCTACTTTGATACGCATTAGTATTTAACAAAATAACAGAGTATTTAACAAAATAACAGAAAATCCATTATATACAATCATACGCAATGGAGTTCGAAAAATAAAGAGGCAAAGGATAAATTTTGTGTTGCAAAAAAAATTTGGTCACTTGGTGATGTTGATGATTCACATGTGATTGATGCAAGAAGAGTTAGCAAGTGGAATAAGGATGCTAAGACTTAAGCTTGTTACTTAAAAATTATCCTCTTAGAACTGATATTTTTGTTGGGTATGGTTCATACTTCGCATGTTGATGAAGGCCCTAATTATCGAGGTCAGCAGAAAGGCAACTGTGGTCCCGCTCCCAGATGAGCGGGCGGGGATCCGGGAGAGCCGCCCCGGCGGGGGTCCCGGGAGGCAGCGCTCCCGGACCCGTAGAGGCTAGGTACTATTGTAGGCCTCTGATTTATTGTAATTTTCTTAGCAGTTTGGGCTTGGGCCCATGAATAGCTGTTTTTAGGGTTTTCTAATCCTATTTATATTTTCCTTGTAAATCGAGTGACTTGTAACTAGTGGCGGTGAGAAGAATATAGTACAGACAAGTTGGACGTAGCCTTAATTGGGTGAACTAGGGTAAATCATCGTGTCAATCTCTCTACTCTTATCTCTTTTTCTATTTTCTCGATTTTGTGTGATTGTCGATTTTCAACAATTTTGCCATTGTTCTAATTATGATTCTGATTTTACAAGAAACTTGAAGGATCTAGTCAAATACAAGGCCAAAGGATCTCGTGGCCATTAACTCTATTCCAGAAAGGTTTGCTAATGTCACTGCTCAATGCAGTGATAGGAGTTTGGAAGATGAGATAACAGATAAAACCAATTATATTGATCAATCTGAACCTTAGTATGGTCACTGCCAAATATGAAGACTGTACCGGACGGAGGGTACTGATATGTCTACATTTCCGCTATACCACTAAAAGAGCTACTTGATGTGTTGCCGTGGTTGTATCATGTTGGTCTTGCGTCAAATTTTAAGCAAGTAAGATTAATGTTATGAAACTCGAACCGGTCGAGGTACCGGATCAATGGATTATTGGTTCAATCGCTTAAACCAATGTTAATAAATCGACCGATTCGACCGGGTCGACTTGGGAGCCGCCGGTGAACTGATCATATAATCGGTCAGGTTGAAGCAATGGACCGGCCATGCATCAGAACAAGTGCGATCCGGCCAGTTTTCATGAAAACCGGTGACCCGACCCGGTCCCAAAAAAAATTCCAAAATTGTTTTTTTTTTTTCAAAAAAAAATCATAATGGATATATTTGAATATTTTTTTACTTATTAACTTACATAAATTATGTACCTACAACACTAATATTATCTCAAGTATGTACTATACAAAAATTTTTGATTTGATTTATAATTAAAAATATCGTTTTCTGAACCTAAAGCCTCGTATCACGATCGTTATATTTTTGTTTGATCCTTTATTGGATAATAATATGTGATTTATTATTTTTATATTAAAAAATTTATCATTTTTTTTGGATATTTGTGTATGTTTATAATTTTTTAATATAAATTATAAAATTGCATATAATTACCAGGTCATGCGGTTGAACCAGTGACCTAGTACCTCGATCGGGTCAATGACCGGGCTGGTTTTAATAACTTTGGCTTAAACCGAATAAATAAATACAAATTTATATTTTATATTCAAAATCTTAAAAAAAGATAATATAATCTAATATCATTTATTATATTAATATTTACAGTTAGAAAAAAAAAATCATATTTATAATCTAATAAAACAATTTACTTTAATTATGTTCTTATAATGAATAAATACTAATAGTTCCCATTGATTTCAAGTATCTTCCATTTCTATGACCCCATTCTCCTTAAAGCTTCAAGTGCAATATTGATTATCATTGAACTAATAATACAGCAAATGTTTCATGTTGAAACATACAACAACAATTAAAATGTAGGATGTG